TTTACCTGTTCTGTAGGTTCAGAAGTCCTTTCCTCAGTGGGAGTGAAGGAAGGTAGGTGAGGACTTCAATGGAAACTTACAGTTCTGAGGAACCCGCTTCACTCATGAGTGAATGATGGATACATCTATATCAGAGAAGTTCAGAACCCTGCTCTTCATTCAGTCAGGAGTCCAGTTCAGTCCACTCCAGTGGACCAAATTAAAGTCCGTTAATTGCTTCTTATACCTTCTTAGAAAAGTATGCTTATCTGGGAACCTAGCAAAATCCGCATTCTTGAGTCTTTGTGTATTCATATGATCTCGTGCTATGTCCAGAACAGTGGTAGAGAGCAAAGCTAACCTTTTCCAAGTTTTATTATGGAGTTCAGTTCTGCTCTGACCTTTTACCCCACCCTGGCTTACCAAAGGTGAGCTGGCCTTGGCTAGGATACCTAACCCCGTGCCTGGCACATGTCAGGCACACAATAAATATTTGTTAAATGGGGGTACCTGGGTGGCTCAGTCGGTTGAGCGTCCGGCTTTGGCTCAGGTCATGATCTCACAGTTCATGGGTTCGAGCCCCGCGTCGGGCTCTGTGCTGACATCTAGCTCAGAGCCTGGAGCCTGCTTCAGTTTCTGTGTCTCCCTTTCTCTCTGACCCTCCCCTGCTCATGCTGTCTCTCTCTCTCTCAAAATAAGACAAAAAAAAAAAAAAGCAGGAAAAAAATTTGTTAAACGAATGGCGTCTGCTGTGTCCCTGAGTGTCTTCCTCCTCATCCTGACTTTCTCCCTTTGGTCTTGATCTAATTATGATATGTGAAAAGCTTCCTAAAACCACTTGGAAAACACTAGAAGTTAGGCCTGAACATTTTCCGGGATCTAATGTAAATACCTGTACTTTGGCTTCATTTTTGCCATTATTATGTATGCATCGTAGAGGTCAGGAAACTTGATTTTCATAGCTCTTGGGGTTGCATATGTAGGTAATGCTTTGTTGGGGTGGGGGTGGTGGGGGTGGAAGGTAGCCTTATTAGGGGAATGCCTCTAGCTCAGCATATTAAATGGAGGGATTTAAACTGGGCATTGGGATGTACAAGATATGACGAAGACAAAATAGAAGTCCTCTAAAGGTACTCAATGATTGGGGTGCCTGGGTGGTTCAGTTGGTAAAGTATCCAACTCGATTTCAGCTTAGATCATGATCTCACAGTTCGTAAGTTCAGCCCTTCCCCCCCCTCGCCCCCAATCAGGCTCTTTGCTGGCAGCGTGGAGCCTGCTTGGAATTCTCTCTCTCCCTTTCTCTCTGCCCCTCCCAGCTTGCTCTCCCTCCCTCCCTCTCTCAAAATAAATGAAAAAAAAAAAAAAAAAGCTACAAGTACACAATGTTGGGTGGCCCAAGTGTCCTGCTCCAAAGGTACTAAGCACCTAGAAGCCATTAAAAAAACTTGAACAACTCTTTGGAAATGGCTGGGCTTTGGATCATTCCCACAAAGTGCTCACCTTTCTGCTGAAACATCAGAAAACTTCTTTTCTCTTTCCTTTGAATGAATACAGTTGCCAGCCTTTCCTCAATTCCATCCCTTTGGAATGGGAAGCTGGGGCTAAAATGTTAAATGGCTCTTCTATCCATTCCCCTCTTCATTTCTACCCTGCTTGCGGGTTATCTCCCCGCAGCTGTCCATTTCCCCGCGGGGGAAGCCCTGGCTGATGAGAAATCTGTTTAGCCATTTTCAGGCTCCTGTAGGCAACAGCAGGCTCAGAAAAAGCCTCCTTTCTAAACCCTTGCTTTTGCCTAACATCCCCTGGCTGCTGTCCCCACATGACCCAAATAAACAGATGATCATGTGAAGCCAGTAAGGCTGTTTGTTTTAAATAGCAAGCATCTCCACTAAGCTCTGGAGCAGATGGGATACTGGGGACAAGGGAGAGGCTGGCATTTGACTCTGTTCACCCCACTTACCTCGTTTAACCATCCCTGAAGAAAAAGCATCTTCAGTATGCTCCTTTTCAAAAGGGTGCTGCCTTAATGGGGTAGAGCTGGTCCCTGACAAGAACAGTCAAAACTTGGACTTCAGCCTCTACGAGAGACTTCGGGGCTACATGAGTGCACTTGAGGAAGGCAGAAGGTACAGCTGGATGGAGCTCTCTGAGCATCTTGGGCCACTGGACAGAATAGAAGTGCTGACCCCAAACAAAACAAGAATTTGGTCAACATAATTTTGGGTCACTCTTATGTGTACTATATATACTGTTTAGCACCGCACCCCAACACACACAGCTATGTATTGCCTTTTTTCTTTTTCTTTTTAATGCCTTATTTATTTGAGAGAAACGGAGACAGAGTGCAAGTGGGGGGCAGGGGAGGAGCTGAGAGAAACACAGAATCCGATGCAGGCTCCAGGCTCCAAACTGTCAGCACAGAGCCCAACGCTGGGCTCTAACTCTTGAACCTTGAGATCACTATCTGAGCCTTTGGCTGCTTAACTGACTGAGCCACCCAGGCGCCCCCATGTATTGCCTTTAAACTTACCATTTTCTTTGGTTGTACAAGTGGGCCAGCCCCAACCACACTAATAGCAGGTGGCAGACCTCTAAAAGCAGGTGGTGTCAGGACCCATACAGATCTCACTCTTCAGGAGAAGGGCATTCAGGCGTTCGTCACGGGGCAGAGGGAGAACTGGGCTGAGCTGTCCCCACCCCGTTCCCACTACCTTCCTTTCCAGCTCCATCATAAGCAAAGCTAGTGACACCTGAAGTGTGTGATGGCCTCTGTGCTCAGCTGCAGACACAGCAGAGCCCTCTGTAGACTGCTGTTGGCAAACACCCCCCTCCCTTCTGTTCACTAGGGTCTTGATTTCCACATTCTGTGCAGATTTTCTTCCCTTAGTATGCATTATGCCTGAACAGGCTTTTTGTACAAATTGGGGCTTTTTTTAGACCTCAAAATAGGAACATAGCCCTCTAAGGGCACAGTGGGGATGCGACGGGATGGGATGAGATGGATTGGCAGGGTGGTCTGCCACTCAGCCGTCCTCAGGCCTCAGGTTTGCTTTGTGGCCTTGTATATAACGGTGAAGCCCAGGCTGCAGGATCCTGTACCCAACTGGCATTGCCCCGCTCTGTTCAAACTGGTAGCAAAGAAAGGAATCTGAGGCTAGGATCCAAGGGCCATAGGACTGCTGGCTTTGGGGGCACTGGGGCAGCAGAGCTGTACATGCTCCAGGGTGCTGCAAAAGAGCCTTCAGACAGCCTTTGCGTCGCTACCAAGTGTTACCAGTGGGGGTTGTGTGGTCCGCACCAAAGAAGAACAACAGGGTTTCAGGTGAAGATTTTGGAGGCCCCATTACAATATATTAAATGGGCAGACCACATGGGGCGCCTGGGTGGCTCAGTGGTTAAGCGCTCGACTTCGGCTCAGGTCATGATCTCACGGGTTCGTGGGTTCGAGCCCCGCGTCGGACTCTGCTGACAGCTCAGAGCCTGGAGCCTGCTTCGGATTCTGTGTCTCCCTCTCTCTCTGACCCTCCCCTGCTCATACTGTCTCTCTCTCTCAGAAATTAAAAAATAAATAAATGGGCAGACCACTTCCCATGCAGGCAGTTTGATATTCCTCCATGATTTTTTTCGAATAGGATGCCCTGCCCCAGAACTGCTTTCAAAAGAATCGTCCACGGGGTCAGGGATAAATGCTCCTCCCTATGGGGCAAGCAGCAACTGAAATGTTGAGCGACTTTAGACAAGTCTTTTCTCGTCTCTGGGCCTCAGTTTCCTTATCTGCAAAATGAGAGGTTTTAGGTAAGTTGACAAAGGTCTAGCTTTCTGACTGTACCCGGAGGCTCCTCCAAACAGGAGCTCTAGCAGCGGCGGCAGCAAGCGCCAGGCGGGGGTCCCGCCCTCTGGGTGAGTTCGGTCGAGGCCGGGCGGAGCGTCGCGACCCGGAGGCCCGCCCGCGGCCTCAGTAGCCCGGCGGCTGGCTGGGCCAGGCTTCCGCCCTCCACGTTGTTGTTCCCGATTTGGGCCACGCCCCCTTAGTCTGGGCTGTGGACGCCCTGCCTTAACTGCCCCCGCCCCGGCCCCAGTTCAAAGGGTGGCCTGTTGGTGGCACAGTTCGGATCTCCATTCACATCAGACACGCGTGTGCAAAGACAAGAATTTAGGGGAAGAAAAGAGAGAGACTTGGTTTTAAAGGGAAGGTGGTGACAATTAAAGGGTAGGCCAGGGTACAACTGCGGAATTTCCCTGTCGGCGTCCCACCCTCAGCCTCCGTTCTTACAGTGGACCCATCCGCACCCACGAATGTGACCGTGTTAGACACTGGCCCTTTAAACGGAAGGCTGGCGGCGCGGGGTGTCCATGTGGAGCTGCTCCATGCCGTGTTGTCCTGCCCGCCCATTGGCCCGCGGCCCGGTGACGTCGCCTAATAGGATGCGAACGCACTGCGGGGGGAGGAACGGAGACAAAACGCGGAACCGGATCGCCACTCCGCTCCCTTCGGCTCTTCTCTGGCAGCCTCCTGCCGTCAGCTCCGCCCACGGGCGGATCCCGGGGGAATTGCGACAGCCGGGTGGTTGCAGGAATTGGGTCACGTGTGGGTAGGGAGCGGAGACCCCGGGGTCAGGTCAGCCTCTACCATCCTAAGGTTTCCCTGACTTGGAATATCCCTATTTGAGCTAATTTAAGTCTTAAATTCTCCACCCTTCCCTTCCTCCAGCAAGATAAATTTCGTTATGAAAGACCGCAACACGGAGCCCTTGCTCAACTAGTGGCTTGCCATAGGGGCGGGGCGAGGCGAGAAAGCGGAAATGCAGGGCCCGAACGAGGCTGGAGATTCTCCCGCCCCCACCCGGGCCACGTGTGCGCGCGCCGTCTGTAGTGGGCGGGGCCATCTCGCTCGGGACCCCGCCCCTCCCTTCCTGAGACGCCGCGGCCCTGCGGGCGGGGGCTCCGGTCCGGGCTTTGGCTGCGGCCCCGGTGTAGTAGCGGGGGCGGCGGCCGGGGGCAGCGCGGCTCCTTCCCTTGTTGTGTGTGTCGGTGCCTCCTCGCCATCTTGTTGCAAAGCCTTTTCTTGTCGGCGGGACTCCCGGGGGCCGCGGGGCGGGAGGCATCAGAAGGGAAAAAGAGAGGGAGGGAAAGGAGGGAGGCAGTGCTGCCTTTTGTTTTTTTGCATCAAAAATTTTTTAAATTTGCAAATTATATTTTGCAAATATTTTGGGAAACATTAATTTTTGTCTCCGTGCTCTCCCGTTCTTCCCTGCGGAGTGCGCCGCGCCGCCCAGCCCTGTCGCCCCCCGGAGGTGATCCCTCCCTCCTGCCTGCCCGCCAGCCTGACCTGTGCCCGGCTCGCGGGCCGCAGTCTCGGCCCCGGCGCGCCCCCGGGAGCTCTCGGCGCGATGAGCATAGAGACGCTACTGGAGGCGGCCCGCTTCCTGGAATGGCAAGCGCAGCAACAACAGAGAGCACGTGGTGAGCGGCCGGGTTGGGCCCCTGGGGCACCGGGGAAGGGGAGACGAGCGACCCTGATCTCCGAGCCCACGAGAAACCCCGGGCAGGACCCCCTCCCGAGCGGCCCACGAAGCCGGGCAGCGCAAGGCTCCGCACAAGAGCCGCCGCCCGGGGAGGAGTGTTGGGGGCAGTAAAATTAATTAATGAATTCATTAACATTCAGTGAAGGACCCGGCTCCTGTGGGCGCCACTTCAGCTGCCTGCCACCCAGTATGCACCTTTCGTGGGGGCTCCTTTCGCGTGGGCCAGCGGCGCCCCCGGTATCGCTGAGGATGTGTGAGCCGGTGGGGGGTGGGGTGCGGAATGGTGTTGCGTGGGGGTGGCAGACCCGCGTGTGCGTGCGTGTGCAAGGGAGATTGTGATGTGAGTGTCGAGGAGAGCGGATGAACGGACGTGTACACGGGCGAATGTATAGTGCACACGAGTGGGCGTGTGTGTAACGGAGTGGGGGGTGGGAATTACTCTACGCCGAGCGGCTCCCCGGCTTCCCTGGCCCTGTGGGGAGGGTGCGGGGGGCGCTCCCGGCCGATCTACGCGCCGCTTGGGGCGGAGGCGGCCTTTGCAGAATGAAATGACATCGCGTGTCTTATGATCCTGGCCAGCCCCGCCTGACCCCGCCTCCCAGAGCTGGGCTGGGTCCGCGCTTCAGGGGTTTGGGTGAGAGCCCGGCTGATCGGGCGTCTGCGAAACGGCCTGCAGGTCGCTGGGGGCAGTCCCCGGGCCCCCCTGGCTGCGCCCCACTTTAGCCGGTGTGGAATGTGGCGTGTCTGCGCGTTCCAAACCCGCTCTCGGCTGGAATGTTGCGTGTGCCTGCGTTCCAAGCCCGTTGGTTACACCGTGTGGTGACGTGGACGGGTCCCGCCTCCGACCACGTGCACGGGGGACACTCCCGCTGGGGACGGAGCGGCCCGGCCCCTCCCGGCTGCCTCGCGCTGGGCCGGGGGCGGGGCCTGGGCGGGGCTGGCGAGTGGCCTTGCGCCGGGTTGGGCCCTGGCTCCGGCCGCCGGGCACCTCCCCGGGAGAGCCTGTGCGCTGGAAGGAGGAGCCGCTGAGCTCACCTGTCCATTCCCTCCCTAACCTGTTTTTGATCCTGGGGCAAGGGAAACCCTCAGACTCGCAGGGCGACAGGACATTTAGAGCTCACGTATTCCCATTGACGTTTTGGGGAACGTTCTCACCAGGACCTGGCAGTACCCCTGGCCACATTATGGAGTGAGCTAGGCTTGGGAAGGGGCAAACTTTGACGTTCCCTCGACAGGAAAGGATTTCAGATGCTTTCCGTCCCACCCGCCCTGTCGGTGGTCCCAGGCTTCAGGGGACTGCAGGAATAGGGGTTGGAGGGAAAGACCTCCGTTTTCCGGGCCATTGCGAGGGCCTCGGACCCGTATCGGTGTGTGTGCAGTATCCGGGGACTCCTGTCCCCTCAATCTCCCCTCCCCAACCCTTCTGCCGAGTTGGTTGTGGTAGAGAGAGTGCTTCGCCCTCCTTTCCTTTCTCTCTGCCTATTGTTGCTTCAATGATGAGTCATGCAGGAGGTAGTAGTGTGTGTTGTGTGTGCGCGCGCGCGCCCTGCAGCTTGTGCCGCGGCGGCGGCGGAGGGGGTGGGGTGGGGTGGGGTGGGGGAAGCAGCAGCGGGCCAGGGGCGGGGGAGCGGCGGGTCCGCCCGGCTGACTCTGCCGACCGGCCTCTCAAGGTCAGGAGCCACTCGAGATATGGGAGACTGACATGCTTGGATTTTGCGGAATTGATGGGCCAGGACATCAGCCCACGTGCCCCTCCCCCTTGTTTTCGGGGTCCTGAGCAGGGTCAGGTCCTGGCAGTGGTGGTGGTGGCCGAGAATGTCCTGCTTTCAGGTCCAGCGACTGGGCTTTGGAGGGAGGGCAGCGTGCACAAGAATTGGAGAGACTTGAGTCACCTGCTGCCACCATCCACACAGTGCAATCAGGAGTGCCTATTGTGTCCTTGCCGCGTACCAGGCACTGTGCTAGAGATGAACAGGGTTGACCCTGCTATTGCCCCAAGGGAACACTCAGGTCACCTTCATTTTGCCTTCAGGCTGATTGGCCTTTTGGGGAAGGGGAGGAGGCCCTCTGGCTTCTTCTCTCCCACCCTTTCCCAATAATAAGTCCAGAGGTGGCAGTAAGAAGGACAGTGATGATGTGTGCTACACTGTGAAGGAGCCTGGGAATGGTTCTGTCTTATGAAGTTGCAGAGCCCTGCCCCTCCCCCACGGGGCGAGAACTAGGGGTGGGAGCTGAGCAGAGGCCTAGTTAACTGACCAGTCACAGCTCCATCTTGGCGGGGCAGGAGGTCTTAGGGGATGGACGGCACAAAGCCAGATCTACTCCAGAAGCTTGAGGTTCTGTCCTCTGACTTGGGGTGGGGAAAATGGAAGAAAAGGGGTGGTGTGTAGACCTGCTGACCAGAACTGCTTTCCTGGGTATGTACCTGGTGAGCAGCTCTGAACAGGGATCCTCTTGTCCATGCCCCAGTTTGATCTCATGGGTGGCTTTCCTGACCTAGACCGGCCAGACTGCTCCCATGATGAACCTGAGGATGAGTGGGCACATGCATGTGTGAAAGGGGAGAGAGGCAGTGCGAGGCCATGCAGGTGGTCAGCAGCAGGGTCTGGTCATTTCCAGCATTTGTGGAGGTGGCTCGAATGGGAGCATCTTCTCCCTGACCTGGTCACACCCTGGGGGCTGCCTTATGCACTTAGCTCCCTGTTAGCATGAAGAAGGGAAGAACTCCTTCTGAACCTGGGGGCTGCCTAGTGTTGATTCCTCAGGCCCCAGCCCTGAGCCCGCTATGGCTCCTGACTCACTCCTGACCGGCCATGCTAACTTCTCTGGGGCCAGCCTCTGGGCAGCCCAGGGAAGGTGTCGGAGTGTGCGCATGCATGTTTGGGAGTGTGACAGAGATGCTCTGGTGCAGCAGAGCATTATTTTAAAGAGCGTAAACCTGTGTTGTTCCTGAGGGAGGCCCCTGAGTGACTGCCACTTTGCTCTCCCCACGGGTGTCCCCGTCCCCAGGGCATAGGAGGGTTGCTACTGGGTGGGGAGGAGGCAGGAAGCCTTGGTGGGCTGGATCTGGCCTGGGACACCCCCTCTTCTTCACCACCAGTCAAGATTTCTCATGCCAATCCAGGTGTGATAGAGCTTGGCCATCACCTTCCTGGCACCTGTGAGGCGTACCTGTCTGGCTCTGGAAGAGAGAGGGTAGGTGAGAAGGAGTTTGCCATCTCCTGGATGAGCTGTGGAGTTTATTTTTTTTTTTAATGCTTTTTATTTATTTCTGAGAGAGAGAGACAGCGTGAACAGAGGAGGGTCAGAGAGAGACACACACACAGAATCCAAAACAGGCTCCAGGCTCTGAGCTAGCTGTCAGCACAGAGCCCGATGTGGGGCTTGAACCCACGAACCTTGAGATCATGACCTGAGCCAAAGTCGGACACTTAACTGACTGAGCCACCCAGGCGCCCCTGTGGGGTTTCTTTAAAATATGGGGAATGAGGTTTCCTTTCAGACTGGGTTCCCAGGACACCTGTCCTTGGGGCTCGGGGTCCCCTCTGTTCTACTGCTAAAGGGAAAGTGGAACACTCACCCCCAAAGCACCGAAAGTCTGGGTCCTGGCTCAAAGGAATGAAGGTGGTCTGTGTTGGGCCCTGAGCTCCAGGGCCTTGCCTTGGGGATGGGTGTGGGGGCTGGACTGGGTAGGAGGTAGGTGGAACTCCTTGCCAGTGTGGTCTGGGAAGCCGGAGCAGAGAACTGGCTTTCTCTGGAGCTGTAACAGAAGTCATTGCCAGCCGGAAAGGCCTGGGAGAGCAATGCCTTCCCTCGTTGGAGCAGCCCGCACCCGGCTGGCAGCCCCTTCCTGAAGAGCAAGGGAGATACGGAAGAGGCCCGTGCTGCTGGGAAACCGCCGAGTGCTTCCCCTCTCACAACACTCTCTACTTCCTCCTTTGCCTCTTCTCTCCTGCGGGAGGGAGGGGCCTAGAGCAGGCCTGGCTCACCCTCAAATTGTTGGTTGGCCAAAGGGCCCTGAGGCCTCAGGTTTTCTGGGGCCCTGAGCCCCAAAGACTGGTGTGGGGTTGATGCCCTCCTCCGCAAGGGGCTCTTAGCCAACGTTCCCCCCCCACAGCCCCACCCCTTGTGGGGTAGTGTGTTTGGGGCGTGTCTGCTCTGGGTTATTGCTGTCAGCTCGGTTAGTCAGCAGCGAGGCCAATCAGGTAGGAGGGCTGGTGGACTAGCCTGCTCCCTGGCCTGGGGGCTACAGCTGCTCACCAAGGCCCCTGCCCAGCCCTGGAGCCAGAGAACCTGACTGTGAGGCCCAGAGAGCAGGGAGCTAGGTGGAGGTGGAGAGGTGCTTCTGGATCGGGAAGTGCCCTCCCCTTCCCGTGTTCTCAGCCAGCTGCTGAGCAGGCCTCACCCGGCAGCAGGTCTTTCGGCAGAGATGCTGAACTGACAGGTGCAAGGCTGCCCTTCTTTCCTGCCTGTCCCTATCCTTCCTGGTTGTGCCGCTGGTGGTGGGGACAGGAGGGATGTTAGGAACGATGAGTTCTAGCACCACAAAGGGGCAGAGAAGAACCCAGTGTGTTTTGTGTGGTCCCTGAGGATATCAGACACTGGGACCTGACCTGGGAGTCCTGGGCCTGATTTCCTCATGTGTGAACTGAAGGTGATGTCCCTGCCCTGCCTATGGCGTGGACTCTTGTGAGGATCCAGAGAGGTGTGTGTGTGTGTTCAGACACCTAGTGAGCAGGTGCTGACACAGCAAGTATGGGTATGCACCAGGTGTCAGGATTCCTGGCTGGGTCTAATTTCAGTTTTACCTGTGACTTGCTGTGTGATCCTCAACAAATCACTTTGCCTCCCTGAGCTAATTTATTTCATCTGTGAAATGAAGGTGCTGCCTGCTCTCCAGAAAGTACTTGATAAATACTTTTGAAGGCCTTTCCCAGAAGCTGTGCTCCACCCACCTCCCACCCCTCCATTCTTACGTGGTAGCCTGTGAGGTCTTTTGCTGACCAGCCTCTGCCCACCTTATCTATCACCCATTCCCCTCAGCCTTGTTCCTGAAATTCCCTGCTCATCACCACCCTGAGCTCTCACCCTCCAGGTTGCCAGGCCTCCAGCATCTCTGAAAGCCCCTGCTCTGCCTTTCCATAGTCCCTCTCCTCTCCCAGCCTGGATTGTTACCTCTGTTACTTGTCTGTCCTTCCCCTCACCCCCCCGCCCCAGGCCTTGAGATCCCCAAAGGCAGAGACGAGGTCCGTTTTAATTGTTCACTGCTGTGTCCCCAGCACTTGGCCCCAGTGCCTGGCTGGCTGTGGATGGGTATTTGTGGTGTCTTGAGGCTGAGCAGGGGTGTCACTGAGCACTAACTGGGACAGGGCTGGAAGACTTCAGAAGCTGGAGCCCGGGAATGTTGGCCCACTGAGAAACCCCTTGTGTTCTCTCTGCGTAGAGGAGCAGGAGCGGCTTCGCTTGGAGCGGGAGAGGGAGCAGGAGCAGAAGAAGGCCAGCAGCCTGGCCAGGCTGGCCCATGCCCTGCCTGTGGAGGAGCCCCGCATTGAAGCACCACCCCTACCTCTGTCCCCGCCTGCACCGCCGCCAGCACCCCCACCCCCCCTTGCCACCCCCACCCCATTGACTGTCATTCCTATTCCAGTAGTGACCAACTCTCCTCAGCCTCTGCCCCCGCCCCCACCACTGCCTGCCACAGCCCAGCCTCTGCCCCTGGCACCCCGCCAGCCAGCCCTGGTTAGCACCCCTGGACTCAGCATTAAGGAGGCTGCCCCCCTGCCCACCAGGCCACAAGTGCCCACCCCTGCTCCCCTGCTGCCGGACTCCAAGACCACCCTTCCGCCCACTGGCAGCCCTAAGCCTCTGCAGCCCCTCCCCACACCCATCCTGACCATAGCACCACACCCTGGAGTCCAGCCCCAGCTGGCTCCCCAGCAGCCACCCCCACCCACTCTTGGGACCCTGAAGTTGGCACCAGCGGAAGAAGTCAAATCCAGTGAACAGAAGAAGAGGCCTGGGGGGTGAGTGAGGTGTGGCAGAGTCTGGGCTGGTGGGGTGAACTGCCCACATCCTGGGCCGTGTGTGGAAGAGAAAGTACTCCCCCTCCTGAGCCAGTCCTTCAAAGCCATGTCCTGCCTCCCCACCCGAGAAGCACTGTATTCTGTTTGGACAGTTCGCACTGTGCCTGTGCCCATGCCCATGCCCATCCCCACCCTGGGAGTGGGGAACGGCGATTGCCCTCTGTTCTCAGGCTTCTGTGTTCTCTGACCCCCCTCAAGGATGGGCCGATGGCATTTCCAGGACTTTGGACAGAGAACTGGATGGGGGAACTCTTGGGTGAGGGCCGAGGTCAACTGGCTATTTCCCTGAGCCCCAGGAGACCTTCCATCTCCTCACAGGTGGACCAGGCAGGATGGAGGGTTAAACGAGTTGTGAATTACGAGCATACGTGTGCCCTCCAGGAGTTTTAAGCACGCCTGCACAGGGCGAACATCTCCCATTACTGCTTTTTGTACGGAGAATGGGGGGGCAAAACGCCTGTGACATTTGCGGAGTGGGGGCAGGAAGCCGGAAGGCCACCTAATCGGGCCCTCCTCCCTAAGCCTCCTGTCTGTCTGGGTTTCAGGATCGGAACCAGAGAAGTCCACAACAAATTGGAGAAGAACAGGTGTGTGTGCGCGTGCGGGTGTGTCTCTGGGTCCCACCCTTGCTCTCCTGGGGCCTTCCCTCCCCGCCCTGGCCCCCCTCCCCCAGGCGCTGGCTAACCGGCGCCACTCCCTCTCCCCAGGAGGGCCCATCTGAAGGAATGCTTTGAGACCCTGAAGCGCAACATCCCCAACGTGGACGACAAGAAGACGTCGAATCTGAGTGTGCTGCGGACGGCGCTGCGGTACATCCAGGTACTGGGGAGGGAAGCGCGGCCGAGAGGAGGGCGGGCGGCGGCCTCTGCGCCGGCTTCCTTCTCACTCGCTCCCGCCCTCTTCCCCTCGTCGCGGCCCCGCCCCGCCCTCGCTCCCTCTCCCGCTCCCCCGCCCGCCTCCACGCGGGCGCTGAGCACATGGCCCGGCTGACGTCAGCGGGGCTCCCCGCCCGCGAGGGGGCGGGAGGACGGGCGCGCGTGCGCGGGGGAGGGCGGCCGCGGCGTTCCCCTCTAGCTCCCCCCACCACCGCCTTTCCCAGTCAAGACGCCCGCGGAGCCCCGCCATCTGCGCAGCCCCCACAGCTCGGTTTTCAGACCCGGTGCCCGTCTGGCGTTCTTAGTGCCCCCGCGGGTGAGAAGGGCGTGGAGCGGGCCCCGGCGCCTCCAGCCCGCCCGCAGTGCCTTGGGCGGGAACCCGGATTCGGCCCGAGAATCTGTCGCTCGTGATGGGGTGGGGAGTCCCCTGGGCGTGGCTCCTTGCACACGGCGGCGCGCCGGTGAGGCCCCCCCTCCGTTTTACCCCCAAAGGGTTAAGATCCTTACAGTGAGCGCATTGAGGTGTCACGACTCGAGTTTAGGGGTTAAGCCTGGAGGGTGTGGAAATGTGGTCTGGATGACAAAACAGTCCTGGGGTCGCCGGACCTTCAAAAATAGGCACTCCTCATGCCTGGCATTTAAAAAACCCTTTTCAAGGGGCCCTCCTGTCTCTGTGTTCCTTCCCCCGCCCCCTTTAGGCATTGGCTTCCCTCTGCAGTATGGGGAGGGGGGCGCCCTCCAGATAAGACAGTTGCCATGACGGCCCCGTGTTTCGGTTTCCTTGGAAACCGGCCGAGGGTTCCGCGTGCCGGAAAGGAGGCTGTGGGGGTGGGGCGCGCGGCCACGCTCGGCTGCCGCGGAGACCGAGTCGGAACAGAGCCGTTGGGGAGTGGGAGGGACTTAGGGCTCCCTGCCCGCGCGAGGCGGGAGCGGGGGCAGCTTGTGGTCCCCCTATCGGCGCGCTTGGGCAGCTGGGGGGCCGGGCAGCATTAAGGTTCCTATGGGAGGGGTAGCAAGGAGGGTCCGACCGAGCTCAGAGCCAGGGGCCGGGCTCCACCCCTCCCCTGGCCAGGACTGCGGGGTCACAGCTCTGAGGTAACCGGAGCCTGACTTGTTTGGGGGGCGGAGGCGCTGCGTTGCGCCTGCTCCCAGCCGGCAGCTCCCTCCCAGGCCCCAGCGAACGCGCGCCCTTCCGCCCGCCCTGCGGGCGAGGGGGAGGGGCTGGCGCGCCTCCAGGCCGATTCCCGGCACCCTGGAGGGGCGGGGTGGGGCTCGCGGATTGGTGGGACCCGGCTGTGGGAGGAGCTTCCGCGCTCGAGGGGGAGGGTGCAGCCGGCGGGGAGTGACGCTGCAAAGCCGGGTCCGCGTGGGTGCGCGCGTGCTCTGGGTGGGGCGGGGCCTCGCTAGTGGCCCGACTCGCCCCGGAGGAGGAGAGGTCGGAGGGGTGGGCTTCGGAGGGTCTGCGGGAGGCCCCCTGCCGACGTGTTTTTGCAGAACTTGGGCTTTAGAATGTTACTGGTCCTTCAGTCACAGGCAGTTATGTATCCTAGAAGCAAATCCTTGTCCAAATGCTGTGACGTTTTCTGTGACTGTCAGTTTCTTTTGTACTGCCATTTTGCTAAATGGGAAGAAATAATATTTTCATCATACTCGTGTTCGGATTGGCCTTCTATAAATACCAACTTAATAGCAATTCTTGAGAAGTAGGAAGAATAGAATGGCACATTACACTTAATAGACACATACTTAGGAAAGCCTTGCTCGCACCACGTTGGGATTTGAAAATAAATCAGAAATAGAGACTTAGTAGAACCAGCAGACATGGCCCTGGGCTGAGGAGGCAGAGAGGTGTGACATGTGCCCAGGCTGTTGGTAAGAGAAATTTGTTCTGGGGCTGGCCATGGAAGCAGAAACGAGGTGCAAGGCTTTCTCAAGCCTCAGTCTCATTCGTTTATTCACTCAGGTCCTTTGGACAGCTCTGTGTCTGATTCTGAGGATGAAACAGGGAGCAAAGAAAAAAGCGTGGGTCTCTGTCTTCATCGGTTTGGTCTTGGTGGCAGATTATAAATAAAGGACTGTGCCATGAGGATTTAATAGGGACAGGGATCACAGGATTGGTTTTGTGCAGTGAGGGAGGGGCTGAGAAAGGGGCATTTGGACTGAGACCTGAAGGTTCCAGGGTGACCTAGGCAAAGCAGAGGGCAGAAGGTGCAGCACAGGCCAAAGTTACTCCAGGAGGGAGCCCGATGCAGTTTTAGAACTTAAAGGTGGCTGTGAGCATTACCATGTAGAGATTGGGGGGGGGGGGGGGGGGTAGCAGGGCACTAGATGGGAGTCAGAAGGGAGTAAGAGACCACATAAGGTGTGTAGACTGAAAGCGTTGGCTGTTTGCTGAGGTGGGAAGGCTGTAGCCCCCAGCCAGACTCAGAGTGCTTTGGAGGATTTGAGGAAAGCCGTAGTGAAGTGGACAAAAACAGGAAGAGGAATAGGCAGGTACCAAACTATGCATCCAGGCAGTTTTAGGAAATGTGTTTAAAATAAAGCAATGGGGACAAAAGCTAGACCCTGGGGAAACTTTCCAGGGGCCTCTAGGCCTGTAGAGAACTGAGCTAGGTAAGAAAAAGAGGTTCTGGCCTCTGAATTTCTCCCTGAATCAGAAATCTACTCTTCCTGCTGGTAGGTAGAGTTCAGGACACCACTTCCAGCCCCCAGCAGTCAAGTTCAAGTGAGAGCTGACTCACCATAGGCCCCATCACTGATATGGCCTCATCTGAGTACGTGTCCCACAGTACTGGCCCCTCAGGGTAGAACCAGGTGAGAAGCCGAGTGTGTGTGTGTGTGTGTGTGATCTTTCTGGCAGAAATATAGGGAAAAGCAGGTTAAATCTCAAAGCCAGGATAGAGAAGGGTGTGTGTGGCCTGGGACTGCCAGCAGAATTGTAAAACTACCAGATTGCAGGCCAGAATAGTACATGGTTGTATCTGGGTTATGTATTGCCAGCACTAATGGTTTGAGGCATTTCTTAATGGTGAGGTCAGAAACGTGGGGCTGCACGAGGAAGTGTGGGGAAGTTGGGCCTAGTTTAGTGGGTGAACTTGAAGACATTGCCATGCCCAGGAGGGACAAGTGAACAGTCAGGGAAGGCTGCCATAAAACCGCTTGTAGAAATAGAATCAGGGGAAACTTGTGTCTAATGGATGACTCTGACTCTCCCGTGATAAAGCACAGAGACAGGATAGAATCAACATGCTCACATCCTCACAGATCCTTCCCTTGGGGCTAAGATGTGCAAATTCTGTCCTGGACACTAGTAGGGTCATAGAGATAAAGCTGATAATTAAAATAGTCCTTGCCTTTACTCACAGGGTTGGACAAGGTACAGTGTGTATGGAGGTGGAAGGACAAAATAATGAAGCTTTTAGGGATAATATGAGCCAGTAACTGATTAAGTACTACCTGACAGTCTTATTAAAGGCCCAAGTGTAATGTGTGGTGCCAAGAAGGGCTCAAGGGCAAAGAGGATGCACTGGTTAGGGCATGAGATGGGGAAGGGTGGTGGGGGTCAGATGTGGTCTCAGCACAAGCACATATGATGTAGAGGGTGACAAGGGGCAGTCTGCGTGTGGGACCGGACTCCGAGAGGAAAATTGAGGCAAGCTGGATAGTTTGGTATAGAAGAGTCAGTGGGTTCTGTACCTGGCCGTGACCAGCCAGCCTTGGAAGCCAGGAGCTCAGGAACAGGTCAGGTGAAGAGACTCAGGCTGCAGCAGGACAAGTGTGTCCGTGTTTGGTGGACCCAGCACTTAAAACAGTGTCAGCTGCAGGAGGTCATAGAGGATGGGAGCTGAGGGGTAGGACACAAGACGGCCTTTTGGAGCTGCAAAACACTTCCTTTTTTTTTTTTTTTTTTTTTTTTTTAAGCGAGAGTACATATGCTAAGTGGGGGAGAGGGGCAGAGGGAGAGAGGGAATGTTGAGCAGGCTCTGTGCTGAGGGGTCGATTCCACGCCACTGGGATCCTGACCTGAGCTGACGTTAAGAGTTGGACACTCAACCGGCTGAGCCACCCACGTGCCACTCCAGATACTTCTGACGGGGAGCAGTGCCGCAGTCTGGGAGGCTTGGCATCAGCACCAACATGGGTCAATCTAAGAGGCCATGGGCCTGGAGGATTGAGGCAGAGATGGCTCTGTGGACAAGGGAGCTCCCTGTTGGTGTTCTTAGTGAGGTGGTGGCATCAGTGTTGTGGGGGCAGGAGCAGTGTGGAACCTCTGGTGAAGGACAGGAGTGTCTCCTCTGGTGCTCCATGTCAGAGGTGCCGTTGAACCATTTCTCTTCAGTCCGTGCAACTCCGCTACAGGTGTGGAAGGAGGGGTGCGTTCCAGGGCTTGGGGATCAATCATTTATCAGCCTGGAGGATCTGGAGGGCTGTGGGCAGGGTGAAAATAGAGAGCGATGTTGAGAGGCAGCACAGGCAGGTACCACGAGGGGTAGTCTAGGTCAGAGAGGAAGGCAGAGCCAGCAGCTGCCGGGGACGAGATGGAGGCAGGTCAGGAAGAAATGCAGGGGGCTGCAGGCTGTGCCACAAAGGCTGAGAGCCATCAGGCATCCTCAGGGACGTTGAAGTTAAAGAGACTAGTGAATGATGCTGTAGAGCGAAGGGCAAGATTGTGTGAGGTGTTTTGGGGAATGAGTTCCAAGGAGGGTAGCCTGTGGCATGGTGACCGACAGCATGGTATGATTGGTGCGCGAGGGCCTTGAGCGGCACAGAGAAGTCTGTACCCCTTCTGTCCTCTGCAGTATGGAGGCAGGGGGCTGCCAGGAGGTGGATAGGGCCAGAGGCCGGCCATGAAACCCTTCAGGACAAAGTTGATATGTGGGTGGGAGAAGCATCCATCCTAGAGCGGGGCTGACCTGGATCTGTGCTTGTTTTGAATGGTCCCCGCTGGAGAGACCGTGGTCCCCAGCGGCCCCATCACTGCAGACCTGCCCCCAGGGGCTAAGTGACCTGGAGGCGAGGGTGGCAGTGGGAAGGGATTTGCAGTCCGGGGGACCCTGTGGCTTCTGCTCAGGGTATCCTTCGGGCCTTTGGCTGTTTTCCAGTCTCTGAAGAGGAAGGAGAAGGAATATGAGCATGAGATGGAGCGGCTGGCACGGGAGAAGATCGCCACACAGCAGCGGCTGGCGGAGCTCAAGCACGAGCTGAGCCAGTGGATGGACGTGCTGGAGATTGACCGTGTGCTCCGGCAAACTGGCCAGCCAGAGGACGACCAGGCCTCCACCTCTACGGCCTCTGGTGAGCCCCACCTGCCCCTCCCTGGTCAGGCCCAGCCCCTCCCCCCCCCAGCTCCATGTCCCCAGATCCCAGGGGCATTCACTATTCCAGCCTCTTGTACCCCAAGCCTTTCTGACCTGTCCCTGTCCCTGTGTCCCCCCACAGAGGGTGAGGACAACATAGACGAGGATATGGAGGAGGACCAGGCCGGCCTGGGCCCACCTAAACTGAGCCATCGCCCCCACCCGGAGCTGCCGAAGCCACCGCCCAGCACCGCCCCTGCACCTCTACCTCCCCATCCACATCCCCACTCCCAGCCCGTGGCCCTGTCTCCTGTCCACCTGCCTGGGCAGCAGCCGCCACCACCGCAGAAGACACCTCTGCCAGCCCCTCCTCCCCCAGCGGCTGCCCCTGCCCAGACGCTGGTGCCCGCCCCAGCCCATCTGGTGGCTGCCGCTGGCGGAGGCTCCACGGTCATCGCCCACACGGCCACCACCCACGCCTCAGTCATCCAGACTGTGAACCACGTTCTACAGGGGCCGGGCGGCAAGCACATCGCCCACATTGCCCCCTCAGCCCCCAGCCCTGCTGTGCAGCTGGCACCTGCCACACCCCCCATCGGCCACATCACAGTGCACCCTGCCACCCTCAACCATGTGGCCCACCTCGGCTCCCAGCTGCCCCTGTATCCACAGCCCGTGGCAGTGAGCCAGCCCGTGGCGGTGAGCCACATTGCCCACACCCTCTCACACCAGCAAGTGAATGGCACAGCGGGGCTGGGACCCCCAGCCACTGTCATGGCAAAGCCAGCTGTGGGGGCTCAGGTGGTGCACCACCCCCAGCTGGTGGGCCAGACAGTGCTCAACCCCGTGACCATGGTCACCATGCCCTCCTTCCCGGTCAGCACACTCAAGCTGGCTTGAGGATGAGGCCGCTCAGAGGCCCCCAGTGGGGGCAGGGAGGGGGACCTGTCCCCCACTCTCCCACCCACCAGCTCCACACATTCCAGCCAGGCCAAGGCCCGCCCCACCCACACCCACCCCCAGGCCTCCTAGGGGAAGGGGGTGCAGAGACTCTGAGCCAGGGGAGGGAGGGCCCCTCTCCAGGGAGCTGGGCACAGGGCAGGGGGTTACCCCCACTGCACTAGGACTTGATAAAGTGATGAGACACTCTGGTGAATGTGCCACTTGTCCGGCCTGGTGCCAGCTCCAGTGCCGTTTCCGCCTCCCCACCTTGTCCCCTGTAACCAGTGCGATGTGGCTGTTGTGTTCTCCGGCTTCCCTGACCCTGCCTGCCTTCCTGTGCTGCTGCTATTGCTCTGTCTGATGAGGTGGCTGAGTGCTGGGCCCTCCGTCCTGAGCCTCAGTCTTCTCTCCCCAGGCCTTTGGAGGGGAAAGGCGGGAGGGAGCAGAACTGAAGCAACTTGGCCCAGAAAGCTGGGTACCTTGTGTGTGTGTGTGTGTGGGGGGGTGTCTGCTCTGAGTACACGTGACAGATCCCAGGAAGTGGCTGCTCGGCAGTCCCATTGGCACAGATGGGCACCAGCCTAGGGTTGTCTGACCCAGCTGCAGTCACTGACTCGTCACAGCAGAAGCTAGTTAGGAGGAGTCTCTCTCATCAACTGAATCCATGGTGTTGCTAAGCTCCCTGAGCGCCCCAGTCCTTGCCACTGGGGCTCCTGACTTCAGGAGGGCAGGCTGAGGGTGGGTGGGGGCTGGGAAGGGAGGGCGTGGCTGTCCTGCCCCCGTACTGACCCCCGCCCCCCTCCACTGGCCTGGGTACGACTGAGGAGAGAGCTTCTCTGGACCCATCCCCATCCCCGGTTCCCTGGTCTCTGCTTGGTGCCGTGCACTCCTGAGGGATGTGTCCGCCCGAGTGCCTCCCGCAGCCTTGGGGAGGTGGATTTGCGTTTGGTCTGGGTTCCAGGACCTGGGCCCAAGCCCCTTCCCTGATGCTCTGGGGACCTGTAAAGAAGGGAGGAGGGCTGCTACTTCTGCCCCAACTCCTCTGTCTCTGGCATCATCTCTCTTTCTCCTGAACATCCACTTTTCCCCAGTGGGCTGTTCTGAGTGTACGCTCGGTGGTGGCTGCTATGTGCCACACACAAGCTTCCTCTGAGGAAGGTCCTCAGTTGGACCTAGGGCAGGGCTGAGCTTGGCGTGGGGAGTGAGGGGGCCTGTGTGGGCGGCATGCTTCTTTCCCTGCCTCTGTCTCGGTAGAGCGCTTTGGCTTCTCTCTTTATGTGGGTATTTATTACAAGTGGCCTTGTGTCAGACACACACTCAGTTGTGCACACGTGCACTCGGCTCCCCACCTGAACACACAATGGCCTTTCAGTGTGGGGAGAGGAAGCCAGTGTCCTAGGTGTGGCATTTGCTTTGACGGGCTAGGGGCAGGAAGAGTGGCTTGCAGTATTCTGAGGGGGCTGGCAAAGGTCTTGAACAGATTGGGACACCTAAGAACTCCCTTTCAGTTCCTTCCTGGCCCTGGAGACTTCCCAGGGGACAGTTCTCCTTTGTCTCTCCTGCGGTGCGGAAAGGGAGGGCCAATGGACACCCTCGAGGCCTCCTAAGAGGGAGCCCCACTCGCCCCAGCACGGCACCCCCACTTCTCACAAGCGTGCTGCCTTCCTGCCCCCGCACCCATCACCTACCACCCTGGTTCTTGGGGAAACCGCTTTTCACCTTTCCCCCAGTGATTACAACCGCAAGAGCGGAGGGAGCCCAATGGGCCCAGCGCCCAGGGCACAGTCAGAGAAGCATCGGGGAACCTGCCCTCGCTCTCAAGCTCTGTTCGCCTCCCTGCATCCTGAGGCCATTCCAGAGTTGAAAGTGTGTCAACCAGTGGCCTCTCGGGCCTGCACAGATACCTCATCCGCCCGTTCACCGCCCCTGCCCCTCCCCACCCCTAGCAGTGGGGGCCTTTGAATCTAGTGCCGAATGACTATGTCCAGATTGGTGACCATGGGTGTTGTTGCTGTTGTTTTTGTTGTTGTTTGTGAACGCTGTGATGCTGTGTGCCCGAGAGGGCAGCCGCCGCCCAGCCCTTCCTTGGGCATCTCCCCTCTGAGAGCTGTCAGGACCATATCTGTCCTCACCCTGTGGGACCGCCTGCCCCTCCCCTCCCTAGCCCTTCCAGCCTGGGGGACACGTGAGTGCGTGTGCGCGTGCGTGCACGCATGCACACACACACACACACACACACACACACACACACACACACACCTTACCTCTCATGCGTGTTTTACTTTTTGATGTTAAGAGTGGCTCACTGGCTGGGAGCCTTTACCTCGGGGAGAGGGGGAGGTTGGTTCCTTGGGGGGCCAAAGAAGGGCAGGGAGTGCCTGGAGGGGAATTAGGGGTCACCATGACCCCTGCTCTCCAGGAACAGCTTCTCCCCCATCCCAGGGTTCCATCCCCATCCCCTAAAGAGGTGGCCCTTGTTTACAGTGAGGACTCGGTCACTGTGTCTCCGTTTCCTGAAATATAAACCGTAGCGACCCCAGACTGTAGAGATTTTTATGTGTTTGGATACATCTGCTGTGTGGGGAAAAAAAACAAAAACCCTAATTTTGTACATATTGTATTTTTACTATTGAACTGTATTCTAGTGGCTGTTCATGCTCCAAGACTTTAGGTATTGAGACATGAATACTATCCATGTAATAAGCACTTGCCTGGAATAAAATATAAAACTGAAATAAACCTGCACTGAAACCAGAGACGGGGCTGCAAGCCTGCAGCATCTGGGTCACTTTGTTGCAACGGGAGGCAGAGCCTTGTAGGGAAAGGCCTCTAGCAAGCATCGGGGTTCTTACCCTGTTGACATTCGAGGGGCACGGGTCCTCAAGCAGCTTTGGTGCTGGTCAGTTTTAGAAGATTCTGGACCTTCCAGTTCTGAAGCCAGTGTTCAATCCTAAACAGGCTCTGAGGACTGCAGTTCTGGTGTTCCTTATCCTTTTGCAATACTTTATACTTCCTCAAACCATTTTTACAAACACTATCTTGTTTCATCTCTTAACAGCATGGCGGAGTAAACGAGCCAAGAACTAGCCCTGTTCTGGCAGATAAGGAAACAGGTTCGAGGTGGCTTGGTGAGGTCACACAGCTGGCCTGCAGTCTGATCTGTCAACTCCACGCAGAGTTCCCCAGCATGTGCCACCCTGCCCTGGGGCCTGCTGGAGAGCTGTGAATCCGGAACTTGATCAAGTTCCAGTAGGAAAGATGGAGGGCAACTGCCTCAGGACCTGTGCGCAAAAGGGTGAGAGGCTCCCTTAGAGGGAATGCACTTCTGAAGCTGTAGTTAGGATGGGTCGTCTGGGGAATCCATAAGGGAAAGGAACAAACAGAGGAAGAAGTTGGAGGTCAGGACTCAAAGAACCATGTTTTTTTTTTTTATTTTTTTTATTTTTTTTATTTATTTCTAGGAGAGAGAGAGAGAGACAGCATGAGCAGGGGAGGGTCAGAGAGAGAGGGAGTCACAGACTGAAACAGGCTCCAGGCTCTGAGCTGGCAGTCAGCACAGAGCCCGACGCGGGGCTCGAACCCACGAACCGCGAGATCATGACCTAAGCGAAAGTCGGACGCTTAACCGACTAAGCCACCCAGGCGCCCCTAAAGAACCATGTTCTAAGATGGGTCCAGAAAACCCTTGTCCTTATAACTACATGTCTCCCAGTTTAGGGGAAATCAGCCCTTTGGCAGGCTGTCTCAGGAGGAAGTGGGGAGGTGAGGAAGAGGCCTAGCTATAGACCAGGCAGGCTGCCTCGTCGAATGCCCTGACACCTTCCCCACCCCCGGCCAGAGGAATGGCTTCTCTTACTGGGGTGGCCTATCCTTAGGGAAGGAAGTGGTGGCCACGAATGTCTTGGGTCCCATTCTCAAGAAGCGCCTGCCTCAACAGAGGCCAGACCCAGTGTCCCTCTGCCCAACCCAGCTAGCCCTTTCACTTGTGAGATGCTGGCTCCCTCTGCTGGTAGCTCCAGGAAGAGACCAGTTCCCTGACTTCAGGGAAGGTTTAGGGTTAGTTAGGATTATTTCCTGAGTGCCTGTTCAGTGTCAGACACTGTCAAACACTGGGGACAAAGGTGAAGACACTGCCCCTGGTAGTGATGACCCAGTATCATCTCAGGGCTGTTGCTATTTTTAAATTTTTTTAAAATATTATGACAGAGACAGAGACAGGGTCTGAGCAGGGGAGGGGCAGAGAGAGGAAGGCACAGAATTGAAGCAAGCTCCAAGCTCCAAGCTGTCAGCACAGAGCCTGATGCAGGGCTCAGACTCGTGAACCTCGAGATCACGATGATATGAAGTCAGATGCTTAACCGACTTGAGCCACCCAGGTGCCCTGGGCTATCACTATATCTTAAGGGTAGGCAGAAACTCCCCCAGCTCAGCTGGAGCCTGCAAGGGAGGGGCCTGTGATCAGAGTAACAGGAAACAAAAATCCTGATTTAGGAATCCTGGCGCTTCCATTTAGCAGCTCTGTATGAGAGGAAGACTTCAGGGGTTGGAGGGTTCCCTGAGGAGGGGCTCCTACTCGCACTTCTTGCTCTTCTTAATCTGCATGTGGCACTGCCCTTGATGGACCCATCACTTTGGCTGCTGGCCTATGGTCCTAGAAGCCCAGCCAGGAGAATGGGGGAGTGCTGACACTTCTGGGTGGGAAGGAAGGTGGGAGTATGTAAAGGAACCAAACCACTCCCAGGCTAGTTTCCATGGAACCTTTGGTGAAGTCACAGCACATAGAATTCAGATTGTTCCAGGCAACAGTGGGGGAAATGTTGCCCTGAGGGGTTTATGAGGTTCCCTGGCCCCAGATTTCCCTGTGTCAACTAGTTTCCTTGCCTTGGCAGCTCTGAGTTGATAACAGGCGCTGATGCCCAGAAAGCCTGTATCCTCTAGACCAGAGCACATGCTGATGGCTGGAGTCCTTTCCCGGCAGCCACTGATGGTGGGGGCAGTAGTCCTCTATGCTGGGGGAAGACAGGGAGGAACCTATTATTACATTGGGGCCCTCAGCAGGATCAAACCTATCCCTCCTGACACCTTCCTCGTGCCCCAGCCTGAAGCAGGCATCGCCCGGGGCTCCGTGGGCAGGAGCCGGGACCAGCGGGGCCGGGAGGCTTCTGCAGATTCCAATCCAAGCTGCAATTCATTGTTATAGCTGGTCAAGAGGGCAGGCAGGCTGGGGAAGGGGCCGGACAGGGCCCTATACTCATCCAGACACTGGTCAGGTCATTAGCTGGTCTGAGATATGAACACGCTCTGGGGTGAAGTCCTCCCACTTGAGTACTTGGGGTTTGGCTATCTCCTGCCACTGACCAGCCCACAGCTGAGGGCCCTCTCTCCTGGAAACTTTGCTTCTCTCTTTTCACCATCCCTGCCTTGTGGGGCTGGCCCTCTGTACAGTACAATTGTGGAGCTTCCAGAATTTGCCAGTACAGAGTTGTTTACTGTCCAGTGAGCGTCCACCGCCCACAAGCAGCCCCCAGAGCCACAAGCATTGCCAAATGCTGTGTTTATTAGTCTGTTAACACTGAAGAGCATAGTTTCTGAACCAAAAAACATACACGCTCTGCTTCTCACAAAACCAGAGTCACTAAGGCAGGCACACAATGGCCACCATGCTCGGTGGAGGCCGAGAACTCACAGACAGGGGTAGGCAATGGGGCAGCTGGCCCTCAGGCCATGCAGTGCCCAGGACAGGGGTGGACTGGGGAGACTGCCGGATGCAGAAGGGCCACTGGGCCCTTTTCATGTTTCTCAAAGGCGGAGGTCTTCAGACCTAAGTGACTGCTGGATAGGCCCCAGTGGCAGAATGGCCTCCTGGCCCCAGGACAAAGCCTTAGCCTTGTGTGTTTAGGGGTGGAGGGCAAGTGGGGATGACAGAGCCAGCAGCGCGCCCAGGCCTGGGATCAGGAGCCAGGCCCTTCCCAACATGCCTACGCGTGGGGCTCCTCCAGGGCGATTTGGGTCTTCAGGCTCCTTGTATCCTGAGGAGCATGTGGCAGGCAGGCTGGCCTTGCTCCTCACCAGGGACAAACAGAGGAGACCCGGGCATCCTCCCCTCCCCTCCCCCAGACTCCGGGACTCAGCAGGCGCCGGAGATGGGCGATCAGCTGCCCCAAAGCTCTGGGGCCTGTCTCTGACAGGAGCTACTGCAGGATTTCCTCCCTAAAGAATCACCCTGGGGTTCCTCTCAAGGGCAGTGCTCCCACTGCATTCCAGGCCATCCAGCGGGTGAAAGCATCATTTTCCAGGGGGACATCTAATGCATGAAGCAAGAGCTAGGTGGTGAGAGTGAAACTCACAGGTACATGTGGGTGCCCTGTACGGGCTGGGGGAGGGTACAGGGTCGCCACAGGTGGCCAAAGGCAGTGGCAGTGCTGCTGAGGTGGGCTTCTCCCACCGGGCCCACATCTTCTGACTGCCTCACGGTCTCCTGCACCCAGGACACATGCCCGAACTGGCAGCCGTTCTGGCTGTCCCCACTGGGGCTGCGGTGGGCACATGCACTGCGCCTGCAAGAGGACTCAAAGAAGAGATACAGCACAGAGTCCCTTTGCTCACATGACCCATGCCAGGTGGGGCCAGGAAACTATAGACCCGTTATGCCTATACTGGCCCAGGCTGACCTAGGAGAGGCCATGAGGAGTAGGCCAGGCTGAGGCTGCAGGTGACAGTGGGGCTATTTCCAGGTGTTTGAGAGGGGAGCAGAGTAGGTGTCCCCTAAGGCAGCCGCTCCCTGAGGCCAACCCCTCCCATCCCACCCCTGGCCTTAGGGCATCGAGGCCCCTGACTCGCCCTGCAGGGCCAGCACTGCCCAGAGTCGGATCCCAGGCTCACAAACACTTTGTTAGGAACACGGGTAGGCGGGCAGGGTCGGCCGGGGCTCAGGCAGTCTCAGCTGCCCTGCCCTGCACCTCTCCCGGTGGGGGCCGGGCGCCAGGGGCCGGAGCCCAGGCTCTGGTCGGCTGCTGCTTCCTGGCCACAGCCCTCACTTGTTCTCTATGAGCATCTGCACCTTGTGGACGAGGTCCCGGGCAATCTGCAGGATCTCCTGGGCATCGTGATGCTCGGCCCGTTCTGGGGGAGACAGACAGAACTGTGGGGAGGCTGGGGAAGCGGCAACAGTCTGGGAGGAGCCCTGCGGTGGCCCACCCTGCTGTTTGCACCTGCTGGACTCGGGACGGCTGCCTACGGGAAGGGACTGGGGCTTTCTGAGAGCCCCTCCAACCCTTCCTGGGCCAGGAGTGGAGGCCCCCAAACCCTTCTGGGGGCAGCTGGGATGGCTGGAGCAGCTCCTACCATTGAAGAACTTGATGATGTCAGTGAAGTCCATGTTGTTGTCCCGGATAATCTCACGGTAGGCCTCTACCAGGGCCAGGGCGATGAACAGGACGAAGTGCTCTGATGAGATGTGCCGGGCTGCCCAGATCACCTCCCACACAGCAAACACGTCGTCGTAGAGCAGCTCTGGGGACAGTCAGGGGCTAAGGCTGAGCCTGGCTCCTGACAGGCCTCTAGGTGCACCCAAACACAGAGACAGAGCTCTAGGGGCCAAGGTCCCAGGATTCCACAGAGCCTGGTCCAGGTGGAGGGTTCCCAGCCCCAAGTCAAGACCCTGCCCTTCTCGGTGATTCCTGCACACTGGACTTGGGCCGACTTCACACCTGCGCTCTTGTCAGCTGCTCTTTATAAGCCTTGCTGCTTGAGAAGGTTTGGTTTGAAAACAGTCCCCAAAACCACTGGCTTAGGGTGACTGCTGGCAGCACTTTGGAATCACCCAAGGAGATTTTAAAATTGTGGATGCCCAGGCGGCCACACTTCATTAGGTCTGGGCTGGGTGAGGCCGTGATGCTGGCATTTCTAAAAGGCTCCCCAGGTGGTGCCAAAGTGCATTTAGGGTTAGGAACCACTGACTTTGGGGGAGAGGGATCTCCCACTGCCTTGACCCTAGCCCCACCATCCAACCCACCTCTTACCTCTCTTAAAATCCAGGAGGAACCAGCGGTAACAGAAGTAAAAGTGGGTGTAGTCTCCGTTCTGATGCATCAGCTCAAACAGCTCTGAGTCCAGGATCTTGCAGAAGTAAAGAAAGGGAGGTGGACTGAGCTGCCGCTGCCTCTCCCAGCACCCCCTGCGCCCCACCAGGCCCCTCCACTGTGCAGGTCGCTGGCATTGCTCCTGAGCCCCTCCAGTCTCCTTGGTTGGAGGCCACCCTCTGCTGCCCTACCCGTCTCTCTGGGAGCTGCTCTTTCTGGAATTACACCATTTTCTGGGCGTGTGATTCACTGTCATCCGCACCACTCACCAAAAGTTTCACGGGCACAGTATTCCCCTACTGACATCCCACTCAATTTGTAACACTGAAAACAATGGGTTTTCAAGTGACAGACATTAAGCTTCTACATGAAGGACGTTTTTGGAGCGCTCCCTGGCCTGCCTGTGGATTATGGATGAGCCAGGCGGTGCCCACAGGCTCACCTGGATGAGGGAGCGCATGTTGGCAAAGTGCGTGTCCATGGCGCCGCCGTTGGGGAAGTTCTGGCTCATCCTCTTCATGAGGTGGCTGAAACAGCTGTAGGCCAGCTGATCTGAGGGGAGATGGGAATGAGGTCGGCAAGGCAAGGGACCCCAGTGCCTCATCCCACAGGGGGTGCCCTGTGGCCCAGAGGACAGGGCTGGCCTACATTCCCACCCTTCCAGACCTAGTGGTTTTCTTTTCCTTCCTCCAGCTGACATCAGCGCAATCCCAATACCATTCTGGGAATGCTCTCGACCCCTACTCCCAGCCCAGTCCCTCACCATCATCGAGGACGACCAGGAGAGGTGCCAGCAGGTCGCACATGCCCTGTACATAGCCCACGTCCAGGTGCTCCCACACGTAGCTGAAATGCCGGGAAGAGAGCCACTGTGGTTGTTGCCATCCTCCACTCCCCACGGGGACCCCTAGGGAGATAGTCCCTAGAGCAGCCTGCTACCAGAAGTCGGCCTTACCATGACCCTAAAGTTCGGGGAGTACAGTGGTAAACAACCCACAGCCTCTGTCCTCAAGGCCCCCAGGGGCTCAGGGACAGACAACAAACAGGCTTTCACCGCTCGGTATGCTCAGCGGAGGGCTATCAGCTAGGCTTCCTGGAGAAGGATGGCCAAGGCTGAGATCTGAAAGACCTCTAAGAAAGAAGAGGGGTGGGGCTGGGGGCATGGCGGGGAAGTGTTCCAGATAGAGAGAGCCGAGTGTGCTTCAGTGCAGGGGAGAGGGGCAGGGCACCTGCCAGACCTAACCTCTCACAGAGCAGCGTCCCTGCCTCCCTCCCTGAACCCTGCCCCACAGTGGCACCTGCACATGACGTCTCTGAGCCTCTCGAGGTTGGGGGGCGTGAAGTACCAGTAATTGCGGTCACATCGCTGCACATCCTTGTCTATGCGGTGCAGATTTAAGGCCATAGTATCCAGTAATTCTATCTGAAAGAGTGGGGGGCCCTCAGGAGTGAGTTGGGGGCCAGAAGTGGTGCCTACATAAAGGGATGCAGCAAACGCAGGAACCAAAGGACTCTGAAAACAGAGCCCTCTGGGGATGCTGAGAGATGGGCTCCGCGCCCCCTGCAGGACAGTCAGGGCAGCCCCACCTTCCACCCACCAGCCCGTCCCCAAGCCTCAGGGCTGTCAGGAGGGCCTCTTGGGGCTGGCTGAGAACAGTGCCCGGGCAATGTCCACATACAGTGTAGGCAGCAGCGCACACGGCCGCAAGCTCCTCCCCTGGCTCCAGCTCACGAGCCCACGAGGCCTTCTCCTGGCTGGGATCTTGCGGCTCTGAGGAAGCATGGGCTGCCGGAACCGGCCCGTCGGAGCCTTCCTCCCCACCGCCATCCTCCTCCTCCTCCTCGAAGCCCATGCTCTGCCCCTCGTCTATGCTCGACTGGATGCCCGAGGCCACAGAGTAATTGCGAGAGGATGGCAGTCCTGAGTCTGGAGAGTCAAACTCCACTGACTGCTGCTGTTCCACCATGGTGGTGCCGGGGGCCCCTGCTCCCAGCTCCTGCTCAGGCTCGGGTCTGGAATCCTCAGTGCCTGGGGGCTTTGGGGGCTCCAGGTCATCCACAGAGAGAAACACCTGGTAGGGGTGAAGAGATGGTGGGGCTCACACTTCTACTCCAGCACCTTCCCCAGCTCACCATTTCCTTCCTGGGGTCCGAACAAGAGGGATGGAGAATCCTGCCACCCTCTGGCCTCCACACCGCCCCACCCACCACCCCCAGGTTGCGGAGCCTCCCCTTCCGACTCACACAACCAGGCGGAGCGCAATCAGGCTCCGGGCAAACACGGAGCAAACCCCATCTTTCGCCCTATCCAGTCTCCTTCCTCAGGCCTCTCTCTGGAGCCTGACAAAAGTATGAAGCACCCCACGACGACCTGTGGCTTAGACACCCGATGGTGGATGTGAGTTACATGTAACCCTACAAACACCTGAAGGCGTGAGGCTGCCTCTGGTTAGGAGAGCTGGGTACTAACGAAGGCTGACACTGGCCTCGGTGTAGCTGCGAGGGCAGCCTGGTGGGTGGCAGGCTGCAGGTGCTGGGAAAACAAGTTCTTCCTTATTCTCAGTACCGTTTAGCAGAACAAGACAGGAAACTTCTCTAGCAAGTGCCCCATCATGTCCATTAGCTTCACACACACTCAGGAGCGGGTAAGAAGTGAAAGGTAACCTGTTCTACTGATCAGGAACAGTTAGCCAGTGTGGACAAGTCCCAGGGAAAATCAGAGAGACATATACAAATTGTTTTCTTTTTCTATTTGGCCAATGTAGGGAAAGGGATACTAAAAGGAGTTTTCACTTTGGCAAGAAGCATGAAGTGTTGGGTTAGAATCGGACAAGGCCACGATTCTAAAGCAACAGAGAGCCGCAGATTAGTGCCAGCAAAGGAAAGCTACTGTGGCTCCTGGGCTAAGCATCCGGGACACTGGTTCCGACTCAGGACTGTACAAAACCCAAAGCCAGAGAGAAAGAGAAAATGCTCACGAATAGGGGAGTAAGAAGAGGCACATGGAAGGGAGCACAAGGTTATATTTCCATAAGACTTGCTCCAGCTTCAGTTCTCTGTTAAAGCTAGTAAGGATTTCGAAAAGTGACAAGAATGTACATTACCAAGAGACAATTTTAAAGAAAAAAATGTAAGTTAATAAAAGGATATCCTTAAAACAGAAACTCATCATTTCTGCTTCAGCCCAGCAAGCCACGGTTTGGCATTTGCTGTTCATCTGAAGGCAGGGGTGATGCCAGAAGAACTACGCAGGCTCCTAACTAGCTTTGCCTGGTTAGTTCCATCAGGGGACGAAAAACACTGCGGAGGGAGGGGAGGAGAGGTCTCGCCAGCAGACACCAATGGGACCTGAGTGCTGTTCTGGTCTCTGGCCAATAGCTCTTGGTGAAACCTCCAGTCAGAGGATAGCAGAGCTGAGAGGGGACACCAACGCCCAAAGAAAAAGTTACTCAGCTTGTTGGGAGTGGACCTGAGACTCGAACCCCGGGCTGCCTATCCCTGGCCTTGAGATCTCTCTACGATAAGGGAGGGCTTCCCTAAATCCTGACACAGCATTCTTTCCCTGCTTGTCCCTTAAAACAGAACACGGTGCACTATCCCATTTTATTCCTGCAACACTCAGAGAAACGGGCAGCAGGGGGACAGTCATCCGGGTTTTCAGGGGAAGAAAATGAGACACGGACACATTAAGCCAGTCCCTCAGGGCTCCAGTGCCAGGGACTACTAGAGGTCGGGCTGGTGCTCAGGGCTCCGTCTTACTCCTACAGAACGCCGGCAGCCCCTGCCCCTGGCTGCCCCGGTCCCGTCAGGCTCACGTCATTGCTGATGGTGGACTCGCGGTGGATGAGGCGCTGCACGTGGCTGTCGATGCTGCTGCCCGAGGAGAACTTGGGGAGTGTGGCCGGCTGCGCGTCCCGCTCTCGCTGCCTCACCGCCGCCTCGCACGCCTTCCACTCCGCCAGCACCCGCTTGTACCTTGCCGCCACTGCCAAGTCCACCTGTCTCAGAGCACACCGTGACCATGGAGGGAGGGGTATCCTCCTGGGACAGCAGGGGTGAAGACTGGGGGGCTGCTCCCTGCTAACATCTTGCTCTGCCATGTTCCTGTCTGTCTGGGAGGTGGCCGAGGCTTCAGGGGTCCCTCCCTAGGGTGCCCTGGCCCAGCTCATCTCCCTAGCCCCATGGGAGGGGGGTCCCCTTACCTGCTCCATCTCCTTCTTGCTCATGCCAAACTTGTAGTGACCAAGCAGAAAGGGCCAGACATCCTTACGGATCTCGTGCTCCACACCTCCATAGTAAACTTGCCGTAGCAGCTCCAACTCCTTGTAGTTCTGTGGGACCCAGGAAGTAAAGGTCGTGTAGCCCCCATGGTAACTGCGGCCCAGCTGGATGACCCTCTCTCTATCCATGCCCTGGAGAGCTGGGCCCGGGGGCAGTGATTCAGTCACTCTGCTGAAGCCCAGACAGACTCTGCTTTGGGATGGTCACGTCCTCCCTGTCCCAGATTACAGCTGCATGAGATCCACTTCAAACTCCCTTCCTCAGTCCCAGCTGTCTGAGACCCTACCATGACCTGGGTCGCTCCAAGGCCATCAGCCCCAGCCCTACTACATTTTACCCGAATGCCCATCTGGTCTAGAAAGCTGCTCCCAGAGCAGGCTGCTCTGCGCTCGCTGCTGCTTCCCCCAGCCCTCGCCCTGGTCCCCCAGATTGTGCACCTTTTCATCCTTCTGATACTTGCTCCACACATCCTTGGTGAGGCCACCTGAGGCTCCTGGGGGCCGCGCGGGAGGGATGATGTTGTGACGCACAAGCGCTGACAGATGGGTCCTCACTGTGGACAGGTGGCGGCAGTAGGCCAGCCCTGTGGCGGCAGGGGGAGCCAGAATACCGTCAAGTGGTGCCTTCCCCAGCCCCCACCTCCCGCCCCTCACAACCCCCCGCCCCCCGCCCTACACTCACAGCCGTAGAAGGCCCGGGACACGATCTGCCTCTTCATGCTCTCACACAGCAGCCTGAGCGGCAGCCTGGGGAAATAACCTAGGTTATCTATATAACCTAGAGAGGAGGGGCTACGGCCCCTCTGGTGGGGAGAGGTAGAGAGAAGGACATCCTGTCTTGGGGACAGGTAAGGTGCTCGGATGGTACAAGGAGCAGGATCCACAGCCCAGCAGCATGTCTGTGGGGTCCCTGTGTGTGCCAGCCACCCTAGGGACCCAGCCTGGCCCCCAACCACCCAAGGGACCTTGAGCAACTGACTTTACTTCATGTTGGCGAATCTGGGTTTCCTCATGTGAAAATGGAGAGAACCACCTCAGGGGCATTAGGAGTAACAGGTAAAAGAGAGCAGCTCGCAAAAACATCGAGTGCTGGCGTGTGACCTGCACACAACTGCCACTCATGCACCGCTCCTGGCACACGGCAGATGCCCAGATGTCTGGTGTGTGTCCTCAGAGGTACAGCCTGATGGCAGAATCTATAGTCACATTGGGAAGGGGAGCTCGTAAGTACTGGGTACCTACCATGGTGCCAGGCACAGCTCTGGGCACTCATAGGAGTCATACACCTCATTTAATCCTTACAGGTACCTTACGAAGCAGGTGGTATTATTCCCATTTTACAGATGAGGAAACTGAGGCTCAGAAACGTAGAGGCTCACAGAGACTCAATAACTTGCCAAAGTCACATAGGTAGCAGAAGTGAAATTCGAACCCAGGTCTGTCCAACTTGAGGCCACCCTGTCAGACAAGTGACACAGCCCCTAAGGGCAGAATGCCCACAGACATACCCACAGGGAGCTGTGTTCTGGGCCCTGCCCACTCACCGGTCAGGGACACAGCTGCAATGGCTGAGGGCTGCATACGGGGAGCTGCCAGGGGAGCAGGAGAGGCAGGAGGGGCCCTGGCTGCACAGGGCCTCCAGGTGCCAGGTTGGCAGGCCAGGCCCAAAGCCCTGCATTTCGATCATGTCACCAGCATCTGAGGACAGGAAGGGGGCCCTGGTCAGGGCCTGGCAGGCCTCCTCCCCCATGCACCCTGTAGCATGCCCACCTCTGTGCCCAGAGCTGCAGCATGAAGTCACCCATTGGTAGCAATCCATAGGGGTGGTGCCTGCCTGGTACGGAGCCCAGAGATGGAAACGGTGGGAGAGAGGGTGCCTGACATCTCCCACCCTCCAACTAGTCTTTCTGCTTATGAGAAGATACTTGGACTGAACTGTGGGTACGTGTGTCTGTTCTCTCCAACTTGCTAGCAGCAACGGAATGAACACTTGCTTTTCCAGAGGGAGGAGAAAAGCAGAGAAGGAACGAAAGTCTAAGCTCTCTAAAACACCGCTCGCTGGCTTGGCCTTTGGGGATTCAGCCTGGTCCTCTTGGACAAACTCTGAGATGCGCGGGAAGGTGCCTGGAATACCGCATGCTTTGAACCTCTCCACACCTGGAGTCTTCCCTGATCAGAGCTCCTGAGGATCCTGGACCCACTTGTCCCGGTCCCCAGACCTCATCAGCCCTCTGAGGGTTCTAGATCTCATGGTTAAGGAGGAGCAGTGCTCCCCACCCAGGCCAGGTGCTCCTGCTGCCAGCTCACATGGGTTCTTCCTGAGTTCTCCATCCTTGCCTTGCCTGCATGCGGCATGGTGGCCTCCTCCAAACACACAGGTGAGCTGGCAGGAAGGGCAAAACTCCCGGGGCTGCCAGGCCACTGTGGAGATGGTGGCTGGGCACATAGTTCCACCGTCCAGAAGAATGTGCCAGGCGCAGCCTCAGAAGATGGCTCCTTTGGGGCGCCTGGGTGGCTTAGTCGGTTAAGCGTCCGACTTTCGCTTAGGTCATGATCTCACGGTTCGTGGGTTTGAGCCCCGTGTCGGGCTCTGTGCTGACTGCCAGCTCAGAGCCTGGAGCCTGTTTCAGTCTGTGACTCCCTCTCTCTCTGACCCTCCCCTGCTCACGCTCTCTCTCTCTCTCTCGAAATAAATTTAAAAAAAACCTTAAAAAAAAAAAAAAAAAAAGAAGATGGCTCCTTGGACCTATCTACACCGCCAGCAGACGGGGCCAGCTCAGCTGGTCTGAATCAGAACTCAAGACCCTTCAGAGTTCCCAGGGCCGGAGTGGGGCAGAACACTGCTTACAGGGGGCTCTGGCAGGTCCAGTGAGTCACAAAGATGAAGCAAAGTCAGGGCAGAAAGTGTAAGGGCCAGGAGATAATGCCAGGAGGGGGGGGGCAGCACGGAAGAGGGAAGAAGGAGGAAACAGAGACATGTGAAGAGACTTGTTTCAAGCAGTTTTTCCTACGAAGTACAGCCTGTGCCCTGGCCCTGCCAGGAGTCTGGAGCAGATGTAGGACTAGTTTTTGTGGGAGCCAGACTCCAGCTCTGGGTGCGTCTTGGTGGGGAGGGGTGAGCTGAGCCCCCTCCACCCCCCTTGAAGGATGCCCTGTCTTGGCCTGAGGCTTTCTTCCCAGCCCCACAGCTGGGATTTTTGTAGATATCTGGCCCTTCAGCTCCACCAGGAGGCAAATTAAGGGAATATACTTGGTGTAGAGGGGCTGCGGCTCTGGGAGTGAGGAGTTGCAAGCCATGCCCGAAAAGTGGGAAGAGGGAGGGGACAAATGCAGGTGGGGTGGGGCAGGAGCCCAGCTCAGGCCCCTGCAGCAGGCAGGACAGAGACCAGTCGTGGGAAGGGGGCGGGAGCAGGCCCAGCCAGGCAGGCAGCAGGCAACAGGCGGGGAGGTGGGGGCGCCACAGGTGCAGAGGAGGAAGGTGGAGGGCACACAGGCAAACAAGCTCATGCCCAGAAAGTAGGGCCCAACCAAGGCAAAACTCCTGGGTCAATGCTCTTCACCTTAATTCTCCAGGAAGGAGCTGAACCAGCCAGCATTGAACACCACATCTGTGAATTAACCCAGTGCAGACAGCTGGAGCTCTGGAGTAACTGGGTGAGGGGCAGCAGGCTGGACATTGGGTGGGGGGAGGGGTCTGCTGGGCCAGCTTTGACTCTGACTCTCTCCTCTGAGCATGAGGAAAGTTTGAAGCAAAAACAATCAGGGTGGTTGAACCCCACAGCCCCTAAGACTCCGAGTGAAAGGTGCCTGGCCTGGAGCAGAATTAGAGTGAACAGCATCTCTGCTCTGTGGGGAGGCAGCAGGAAAAGGAGGAGAGGTGGGGGAAAGGGAGGAGAGTCTGGACACCCGCCACTTGAGTCACATGCACAAGTCAAGCATGTCGCAGGCCTGAGAAGCAACGGCTAGTAGAACGGACTCAACAGTGTTGTCATTATGGACTGGGGTGGAGGTGGGGGCTCCCGTGTCAAATCCCCAACCACTTGCTGATTCTCCTCTTTTGCCTCCTCCTCTTTCCCAAGTACTGGGGGCCCAGGGGTTGCCTACTGGGTTGGTCTGGCTCCCGAGTTCCCCCAAGAGGAAGAGCAGACAAGCCCTGAGCACTCGGGTCTCCACGCGCATGGAGGCTTCTCTGACCCTAGAGGCCTCAGCCCTGACTTGTTGGGGACGGGCTTCCTGGCACCAAGTCTGCCAGGATGGGGTCTCTTCTGGGACCTCCAGCCTAAGCTTGAAATCAGTTCCTAGGGATCCCTGTCCTTCCTGACTCAGCCTACCCACACTGCTCAAAGTCCATTATCCTGTAAATAAGCATGGGCCCCGAGCCCAGGTTTGCAAGGGGCCAGACGGCAGGCTGCCCTGCACTCCTGCCCCGGCTGGCCTGTGGGTTCTACCAGGAGGGCTGGGAGGGAGGCACCAGGGCAGGCATGCGGTGGGCTGTGCTGAGGGAGTGCTGGATGTGTGCTAGGCCATGGACTCGCTTTCCCAGGGAGGGGGGACACCCATGGGTGCTTTGGTGGCTGGGCTAAGGAACTGGGCTGTTTGGCGGAAGTTTGTGGAAGCATAAGAGGGCGTCACATATTCTTAGGTACCTTCTGTAGGGGCAGGGAAAGGGGAGAAGAAATGAATTCTGTGGCACGGGTGGGGTGGGGTGGGGAAGTTCCCCTAAACTCTGAGAGAGCTGGCCCCAGCCCTTTCATAACCAATTTTCCCTTGAGTATCCCAGCCTAGCCTTCTCAGGTCCCCTGGCCGGTCACTTTCTAAAAAAAGAGTGGGGTTCCCTCTCTAGCAGCCTAGCTCTGTGCTAAGAAAGATGGGTGGTAGACAGAGGAGCAAATGCTGAAGGTTGTGGGCACTGTGCTGTGTCGTTTACAATGAAGGGACCTCTGTACCTGTGGATTCCGGGCTCTGTGAAGGAGGGAAACACCTATCTTATATCCCTGGCACATTTATTTCTAGGTTTCAAGATGAAGCACCAGGCAGTACCTGCCGGAGCCCTCAGTCCTGCTGGGTAAACCCAGCCCTGGGTCTCTTTCCATGGTGGCTCCAGCACCTCCCCTGAGCCACAGGACTCATTCGCGTACCCAGCCTCCATCCCTGTCCAGGAGGGGCCTGGTGCCTCTATCCTGTTTCTGTTAAGTCAGGGATCAGAGGTCCAAGGCCAAGGGGCCAGCCTTCCCTGCCGGCAGGGCACAAAGAGACACTGCCCCAGGTGTGCTAGCACGACCCCCAGGAGCGGGAACAGTGCTCAGAGAGCCATTCGAGGCTCCCGATAGTCAGATCTTCCTAGCAGACGATCCTCCCTCTCAGGCATGAAGCCCTCTCCTTACACTAACCAGGTGGGGAGCACAGAGCCACCTGCTCTTTGTACCATCCCCTCTTCTTGACGGCGCCCCATCCCACCCTCCCTGACCTGCCTCCTGGTGGGGGACGGCCCTGGGCACCAGTCCCATAATGCCAACACTGCCGTCCGAGCCCCTGCGGTGGGTGGCAGGTGGGCCAGGGGGTGGGGCGGGGCAGGAGAGGGGCAGGGATAAAAACCTTTCATCGGATTGGGAGCTGTGAGGTTCCGCGAGCAGATCATTGAGAGCATCGCGTGCAGTTTATCCTCCTCTTCCTCATCATCGTCCACCGAGGCCGCGCGGCTGGCCGCTAGGTGGTGGTAGTTAATAGTGACTGCTCAAAGAGAACAGCGAGAGAGGCAGAGGCGTGAGGACCCTGGTCCAGGCAGGAGGGACCAGACTCCTCCTTATGGGGAGGGAACAGAGTCTGGGTCACCTGGAACCTGCCAGGCATGGAGAAGGGGATGCTGGATGGAGAGCTCTCCGGATCCTTTATTGGGGCGAGTGTGGAAGAAAGTGAGGGAAAGCGGCAGCTCCAGAGCTCCACTGGAGGAGACCCTCTCTAGGAAGAACAGAAAACAGAACTGACGGGGGAGCAAGGGTCGTGAAAGAGAGGGTCCAGCTGGGACAGGCAGGCGGCTCAGGAGCTCCCTGGCCCCAGCCAAGGCTGGGTACGATAGTCGGATCCTGATCATTCTGTAGCTCACATCACGGTCAGGCTAAACCACATCTGAAGATTACCCCAAATCCCCTCTTCAGACTGTAAATCCAAATTTCCCCAAGGTTTGCCCAGAGCTACTCTCGAGGAGTCTGAGTCACTCGGCTGGGCTTTGGCTCCTGGGGCCCTGGCTCACCCTCTGGGGAAGCGGTCCTTGAAGCAAAGTGACCAGAACTGGGAAATGCCAAGGCTTAAAGAGGGGAAGTGGAGACTGAGTAATCTAAGCTGAGCAACAGCCCAAGATTAAATGCCCGATTTGCGAACACATTCTGACGCAAGACAGGTCTCCTGGTTAGGTCCCTCTGGGAGGGGAGCCCCATGTCTCGTGCCCTTCAAGGCTGCTGGGGCTGGTTGTGCTATGGCTGTGTGGTAGCATTCTGGGTACTCTGTCCACTAATACAGAAACAACTTGCTGACATCTTACTGGCACAATTTGGGAAATTTAGGGAGCAGGTGGTCCTGCTGGCAGTAAATGCTCCATGCTGGTAAATTCTCTGAACTTGTCCTCAAGATTGGTGCGTCTGGCCTATAGGGCATAAGCACTCAGACCAGAAAGGGAACTCTGATGTCACCAGATACCTACGCACAGGCCCCATGGGCCCAAAGGTGTGCAGGCAGGGCAGGACCCATCAGCGCCAAGCCACCTTTTCAGCATCGCAGTCCCCAAGGTCCCCCAGGCAGCTCCAAGTTTCCCCTTCGTCAGGTGCACCTCCGCCCCAGCTAAAGCTCCCTTCATCAGTAGCTTGTCTGAGAAGGGCTCCGGCTCTGGAGGAGTCAGTGAATAATCTGCACCAGTCAAAAAGAAGCACCAATTCTGTACCCAGGCTGTCCTGTGGAGGTCAGGTCATGGGCCCAGGAGGAATGGAGAGTTCTCCATCTTCTATTTCTGGTCTCACATTTTTTTTCTTGGGGAAAGGAAGGAAAGGCTAAGAGAATAGTGTACAATATCGGCTGAGCTAAGAACCTTGTGGTGACGAGGCTGGGGAAGACAGCTAGGGAAGAGAGAGGTAGCTTCTCAGAGGGAGGATATGCAGGGGAAGGTCTGGGGAGAGGCTGAGTAATGAACTGCTCCTCTCAACCCAGCCTGGTCAGTGAGTGGACCCTGACTGTAGCCTGAGCATCTTTCTCCCTTCCTCCACCGATGAGGCTTGGGATACTCACTGTGCTCGTGCCTGTGGCCAGGGTAAATGATCCGGAACACATAGTCTGTGGCCCGCCCGGTGCCCATCTCCTCCACATCCACAGTCCGCACGCTGCTGCGTTTCCGTAGCTTGGGGAACACTTTCCCCTGTGGAGGGAAGGGTGGGTGGTCAGCCTATGCAGCGCAGAGTCTGATCCAGGGTCCCACCCAAGGCAGCCTATAAGAACTCCATATGGAGAAGGGAAGGAAGGTGAGCAGGGAACCCCCCCTCAAACATCCCTTTACTCGAATGTTCCAAGCCCTGAGGTACCTTCCCCTGCTGGGTCCAGAGCGGGGGCTCTAGCTGTCCTCGGGGCAGAAGCCCATTCTCCAGGCAGGACAGAAAGGACAGCAGGTGACCTCCCTGTGGGAAGTGCAGTGGTGGCCTCTGGATGCCATCCTGGCTCACCAGCACCAGCGTGCCGCCGTTCTCTGTCGGGTGTATGAGGGCGGGTGAGGCTGGGCCTCCCTGAGTCTGCTCAGCCATCACCACAGCCCAGTCGGCCAGGCCTCCCTTGGGTGGGAAAACAATGAAGCACGGGGAAGACAGGAGGCGGACAGGGCATCCAACGGGCCATGCGCAGCGTGTGGTTGGGAGAAGGCAGTCTCTTTCCCCTCACCCTGTACCCAGGACAAGGGAGGCTCACTTTGCTGATGGCAATGGATGCAGACGATCTGACTGAAGGGCACAACCAGGGCATAGTCCCAGTAAACGCTGGAAAGGAACCAGATTGGTGTCACTGTGTCCCAAGACCTGTCATCCGCTTTTTTCATCTCCCATCACCAACACTTGTGAAACTGCCCTGAAGACCAGAGGACCACAGCTGAGAAGTGACCTCAGTCAGCCATGTCCCTCAGGGCCCCGTGGTGTCATGGCACTGAGCCCAGCAGTCTCAGCTGCCTAGAGCTTGGCTCAGGCAGACCTCTTCATGCCAGGCCTGGGTTGATCTTAGAGAGCTTGGGAATCTCTCCAGGCAGCCTATTCCTGTGATTCTTGGCATCAGGATAAGGAGTGAGGCCTGCCTCCCAGAGTAAGCGGAGTCTATCCACTCCCCCTGCCCCCCAGGTAGGCCCCTCCACCCTTCCCGGGCTTCTGGGAGGGAGTCCCAGAGCCCCCACCTTTTCTCCAGCTCGGAGTCCCCCAGAGTCCCGTTCATGAGCTGGTTGGGGGTCCACTTCAGAGTTAGGCTCTCTGCAGACTGGTGCAGGGAGAGGTAGCCAGGGACAGCCTCCATGTCCTCCTTCTATGGGGAGGAGACACAGCAGAAGGCAGAAGTGATGAGGGGCCGAGGCTCCTGGGGGAGGCGTAGGGGAAGTAAGCTCCAGGCGGGAGCTGGGGAGGCTGCCTAGCACAGTCACAGGATCCTGGAATGGAGGCCAGGAGCAAGTTGGGAGAACATGAGCCACATGCAAATGTGGGCACCTCCTCTCCCTGGCTGGCCTATTGCTACTACTGGCTCTGTCTTGTTAGTCTCCCGGATGCCAGGTATGTCCTGGGCCTACCATACCCAAGCCGGGTGTGCCTTCTGGCTGCCATTCCCCTTGGACAGCCTGGTTCTCAGTTGGCCAGGGCAGATGCCATTCTTGCCTCCTGCCAACTCAAGGCTGGGCACAAGGCTTATGACTGTGAAGTGAGGGGCAGGGCTCTTTCTCACCCTTCTCTCCAGTCAAGCCCCCGAAGAACGGGACAACTGTGACTGGAAGGTTCTAATCCTGGGGACTTCAGAAGAGGGAGAGGAGGGGTGGGCATTAAAGTTTTCTTACCGGCTGCACCAGCACATTGTTCTTGCCATAGAGCAACCGTGTCCTTGAATTCTGGTGCAGGGACTCCACATACTCGCGGGCACAGGCCGCCAGCCTGTCCTCTGATGCACTGCCACTTGAATGCCGCTTCCGAATCTGTACAGAAAGGCACAGCTCAGCCCCCAGCCCTGGGAATCAGCCTCAGAGAATGCTAAGATCCCACACAGACCCTCTAGCTGACCCAAGAGTCTATTCTGTCCTGGACCTGCTCTTGGCCACCCTCTGCTCTCCGGCCATGGACCAGTGGTGTGTTCCTGGCATTTATGTAAGTGCCAGGGTGGATGAAAGGCTCTCCTGAGGTAACCACTACCTTGGTGCATCTCCAAGGTCCAGATTGTGTCTGCAAAGACATGGAGGCCAAACTGCCCTTCCATACAGGCCCATGGGCGTAGCCTGGATAAGTATGAGGGTGGGTGGAGGGATACCTACTCCTAGGGCTGGACGCTTTGCAGGGGAGTCCTGGCGATTAGGGGGACCCCGGATACGGTGCCTCTGAACCAGCTCATCAGCAGAGGGGTCAGTCCAGTAGTGATCAGCAGTCTTGAGCTTGGTGTACTCCAAGGCACAAGGTCCCACTGTGAAGGCAGGATTCAGCTCACACAGTGCCCCCTCAGCACCTGTCCCTCAGCCCCCACTAGCCCGGCACCAGCCTCTCTGCTCTCAGGCTCACCTAGAAGAGAGGCCAAGATGGGGCCAAATACAGGATCTGCCAGTAACGCCTCCTTCTCGTAGTACTTGCTGCCAGGGGGAGAGACAGACAGGAGGCTCACTAAAGGGCAGTCAAGCTCACCAAGCAGGAACATCCGCACAGAGGCCACATTCATGTGAATCACTAAGAAGTGAGTCCAAAGGCCTGAGCTCTCGGTGGGGTGCCTGGTGTGGCCTATGCCTTAGGGGTGCTAGAGGGGAAGACGGGCATGCCTATAGGCTATTGTGGATAAGCAAGCATGCTGAGGGGTAGGGCTGAAGGTCTGCTCAGGAGGTGGGCCCCAAGGAGGGACTGCCTGGGGGATGGGGCAGTCACCTGCAGTTTTCCACGAGGTACTGCATGACCCTGTCCAACACTTTCTCGATGAGCGCTGTGCGTACCCATATGTGTTTCAAGGCCTGTAGGCTGAGAGCCGGAGCCTTCCCGCTGGCAGAGCCCTGTCTCCGCAGGGCATCCTGGTTGCCTGCTGAGGGTTTCCTGCAAAGGAAGGTGGGCTTCAGAAGTGTGAGGGCCTGAGGGGGTAGGCCTGGGACTGGTGGCACTGGGGACTGGTGGCATTGGGAGGAGAGTTCGGTGCCACAAGAACCCAGAGGACTAAGATGAGGGGTTGAAGTAGGGGGCAGGGCATTGTGTGCAAAAGGAGCCAACCGCCACCCTTAGGCTGGTCTCTCAGCCTAGGGGTCCAGCAAGAGATGAGCCCAGGAAGCCAACCTGGGAAGTAGGAAATGCCAAGTGCAAGAGCAGAAGGGAGGAATGGGAGGAGCTGGCCTGGGGCTCACCTGCCCTCTACTTGTTGCTGTAGCTCCTGTACCTTATGGCAAATCTCCCCAGCCACTGGGCACGTCTTCCCCACCTTGGTGAACAGGGCTGCCATCTTGTCACTGCGCAGGAAGCCAGCAGCACGGCGCCTCAGCTGATGTAGGAGGCAAGCCTCCACTGCACCTGAGCCACAAAGGGAACCAGCAACTGAGCCCGGGGAACAGGGAGAAAAGAGAGAAACACTCCTCCTCTTCATACCTATGGAGAGCAGAGGAGCAATGCTGGGATGAGGGGGAGGGGTTTCAGTCTCAGGCAAACCATGGAGACATGCCCCAACCACCTTCCAAAATTCTCCTCCCGGTCTCTGGCCAGGGTGGACCTGCAGGGACTGATGCCATGCCGTCCCTCTCTCTGTCCCTCGCCTCATGTGTCATGCCTTCTGTATGCAGCATCGCCCCTGGGGCTGTGAGGCCCAAAGCTGCCAGTCCCAGTGGCTCCTCCCCTGCCCACAAGGAGAAGCAAGAAATGTACCTATAGGACATGGGCTGTGGGCAGCCCTCCTGGAAAGCATGGATGATGTGGTTGCTAAGGAACAGGGCTGTGGGAAGGAACTGAAATATTGATGAGGCCACTGCAGAGATCAGACCCAACATCAGCCCCTGAATTATTGATGAGCCCTGCAGCCAAGAGTGAGAGGTTTCTATTTCCCATGCTGGGAGGGTTTCCCTTCACTCATTCATGTTTTTAGGGACTAGCGTTATCCTCTCCATCTGTAGGATGGGCTTGGTGGGAAAGGGCGGGAAGTTGCCCTGTGTACAGCCTAAAAATAGTAATATGTATGAGGGTGGTGCTTGGCCATTATCAAGGAAGCCATTGTCAAGGAGGGAAAAACCCAGAAAGGGGAAGGGATTGGACTACAGTCACATAGTGGCAGAGCCAGGACCATGACCCAGGACCCCAAACCGTGGCCTAGTCCCTTTCACCTTCTCCAGGTCTGTTGGGGGTGCCATAGGTGGGAGGAGGACTCCCCTTATGTCACAGGCACTCTTCTGCATGGGTTGACAAGTGCTATGCTGGAGGGGTGAGTCAGAACACGGTCTGAAGCTTAGTGCAGTCACTTGCTACCCCTGGGAAACGTAGGTGATAACACTCTGAGACTGCTGTCACCTGTGAAGTGGGGCTACTCAGGACTGGTGTGAAACGTTACATGATATGAAGTGCATAAAGCCCTTGCATGAATCTGGCACTCAGGAGGCACTCAATTCTTGTCGGGTCCTGCACCCTCAGCCCTTTCTGGCAAGATCCTATGCCACAGTTAAGCTACAAGGGCTGGGTTTCTACAAGACCTCTTTCTGTCAGGAAGAAGAGAGGGCACATCGGAGATGTGCTGCCCAGAGGTGGGTGGAGATGCCATTTTCTCAGGAACAGGGGAACTGAGGCGTCCCAAGTCGACTGTGACTAGTGTCGTTAGAATATGAAGCCTGAGCTTAGGAAACGACCAGTGAGCCCAGGCTCTCACCTGGTTTTCGTTTCATTTTTAGTAACTGGTAGGCAGTCACTGCTGTTCTATAAGGGTTTTGTCTGGCCCGTTCCTGTACTGAAGTCATAAGTTGGAGACAGCTAGCGCTTGGCTGGCTCAGTTGGTTAAGTGTCCGACTTCAGCTCAGGTCATGATCTCATGGTCTGTGAGTTCGAGCCCCACGCCGGGATCTGTGCTGACAGCTCACAGCCTGGAGCCTGCTTCAGATTCTGTGACTCCCACTCTCCCTCTCCCTGCTTGTCCCCCATTTGTGCTCTGTCTCTCAAAAATAAATAAATGTAAAAAAAAAAAAAGTTGGAGAGAGTCCTGGGACCAACCTGGAGGCCAGACCCAGTGAGAGCATTCCAAGGGAGGGGAAAGAAGGCAGGACCCTCCTCCTCCTACATGTTTCCTTCTGGGCTCTTCCATGGTTGAGCCTCAGAGGAGTTTATTTTATAAGGCATAGCCTTTCCTTCACAGCATGTTCATACATGTATGTGCACGTGTGTAGGCAGACAGACGTATCTACACATTTATGTGTACGGGGCATGTGGGGGAGTCTCTGCTCCATTCTCTACTCCATGGCTGTCCCCTTGGTCTCTGGAGGTCCTGTGTGGCCCTGTGGTGTACGGGTGAGTGAGTCCCAGTCTCCTGGTCCTGGGGCTGCAGCACCTACAGGAAAGTGGTGACCATTTCCTGGGACCGTATGCCCCATTCAGAGTGCTCCAGAGAGAAGCGGCACTGAACACGGTCAGAGTGGCAGCAGGTGGCACCAGTCCTGCAGGGAATCATGTGCCTCAGTGAGGTGACTAATTGTTGGCATAATGAGCCATTAGCTTTCCCACCTTCCCCCAGGAGACTGTAAATGCAGCCAGGCTAGGGAGCCTGAGAATGGCGGGAAGCAGCACTCCCATCCCGCCTGGGCTCACCCACCCTCTCTGGCAGCCTCTGAACACAGGCATTAGGGCTCTCTGGGGGGAGCGGAGGACTCCTTAGCAATTACTGCAAGTAGAGAAGCCCAAACATCACGCCTAGTACCCTCTTGCTCCCCCCACAGCCCCTACGTTCCTTCTGTGAAATGCAGGCAGGGTGCCAGGCAATGTCTGGGGAGGGAGAAATCTCTCTCAACTCTCTACTTTCCAAGCAAAGTAAACGATCCTCTATGCCAGGTATTTTTACCCCAGTTCCATGGGCTCCTCAGCCAGTGACTGTTCAAACTACACTTGGCCTTCTCCATTCGAACAGGGCTGTCCACCACAGAAAATCAGCACGCACAATGAAAAATACTGTGTGCAGCGTATAGGCAAAATAGTAACATAATGATAGTAACACTAACAATGATCAAGAATTGAGGGTTTGTGGATGGGCTTCTGTGCCTTCCAAAGACCCCCAGATATTGCATACAAAGCTGTCTGTGTGCTCCAGCATGATCAGGTGAGTGCTCTTTGTCTGGATAAAGGATTCAAGTTTTTAGCTTCTAAAAGGAATACATGACCCCCAAAAGTTCTCGAATCCCTGCTCTAAGACTTCTGGGTTGCCCTGAGCCACAGACGGTTCCACTGGTTGAAACTCAGAGGTGGAAGTATAAAGACGCTCCCTCCCCCACCATATACAGCGTGCACCACTCAGAACTCGGTTGCAGAGCCATCAGCAACAAGGTCCAACTGTCCTGCTGCCCTCAGTCCCCAGGGAGAACTCTCAAGCAGCCTTGCCCAGGAGGAAGGAGCCAGAGGCCCACGCCTCTCTCTCCTGACTGAAGGCCCAGAGCACCAACAGACCACCAGCTCCTTATTCAGCTTTCTGCCCCGGACTGCCAGCATGACCCTTCCCTAGGGGGAGGGGAGGGCCGTGGCAGGAGATGCCAATCATGACTCAAGCACCAAGTCCGCTGAAGCCCTCCTCCTCCTAAGTGAAGGCTCAGGATGCCCTGTCCCACGGGGTCCCGGTACCACACACAGCCACTCGAGAGCCACCAGAAGAGGAGTGACACATCACTGACACCATCCAGCTCAGTGTACTAATTAATAAAAATCAACACTGTATTTGGTCACTGGTTGGGGTGGAAAGGTTTGGGTAAATGAATCAAAACAGAAACAGACATGATTCAACAAGCATAACCCTGTCACCCCTCACCTTACTCTTGGAACTTTGGAGTCGTGGTCCCCTCTCTACTCTGTCGTCCCATCCGACTGACAAGAAGTCCCAGGGAACTGCAAGAAACTTGCTGTGGACATGTCCTCGCCAAAAGGTCTGGCACCATCTACCGAGGGAAAAGCTGGGAATTACAGGCCCAGACTAGCCCTGGAACTTTCCCTCACCAGCCTCTGATGTCCCAATAAAGTCTATTAAGTTATGGGGCTTGACAAAAGCTAAATGGGGCTGGAGAGCACAAGTGCTAACAGAATCCTAGGGGGCCCTACTCACAACTCCTTACATACCGATATAACTATTCCAAGGAGTCCAATTTATAACAGAGAAGACACTGGTAGATAAAGATGGAAGGGATCCAGGAAGTTACTACATCTTCTCAGACCTTGCTGGGGGAAGAGCTGACCGGCACCACTCCCGTGGAGGTAATGTGGCACCCACCATCTATCACCATTGCAAATAACCTCTGGCCTCTTCTGAGAATCGAGCTTACAGCTCTAACTGGCAAGAGTACTTAGTTACAACAGCAAAAGACTGGAAACTATCCTCATGTCCATCGGTGTGGACAGGTTAAGTATATATGGGACATTCACACAATAGATTATGATACAACTCTGCAAAAGAATGCGGATATTTTCTAGGAACTAACAATGAAAAGTCTCCTAAAGCAAGATGCAGAGCGGTATGACTTGATACTTTTTCATTACAAGAAGGGATCATGCATAGTAAAACAATACATTTTCTTTTATTAGGGTAAAAACTCAGGAAGGATGTAGAAGAAACAAAGTGGTAGTGGTTACCTGTGTGGGAACGGGTAAGTGGGGGGAAAGTGGGTAAATGGTGGCAGGAAAAGGAGTAAACTTTTCACTGTATATCTTCTTTCTGTACAGTTTTGATTTTTGAACCAGGTAATACATTACCAATTTGGAATAATAATTATAAGAATTAAGCAGGTGACCATCCAACCCAGATACCACGATTCTATCATGAGACGATGCTAGAGACTTTCTCTAGCCTGGAGGTGAATCAAAACTCACAAAACTCAGAAAGGCTGGGTCTGTTTATGGGCACCCAGTCCTTCATCAGCTCCTGCAGCAATCCCTCCCAATTGGCTTAGTTCCCCACACCTAGAGGAATATCTGGGCTTTGCTTAGGTAAGCGACAGGTGGTGTGAGCTGGGCGAGGACCAGAGAAACAATTCACTGTGGGCTGGGACAAGCTGAGGTGTCACAAGAATGGACCAAAACTGGGGCGCTTGGGTGGCTCAGTTGGTTGAGCGTCTGACTCTTGATTTGGGCTCAGGATCTCATGGTTTGTGAGTTCAAGCCCTGCATTGTCAGGCTCTGTACTGACAGTGCGGAGCCTGTTTGGGATTCTCTCTCTCTCCACCTCCCCCTCAAAATACATAAAACATTAAAAAAAAAAACAATATTTTTTTATAGTTTATTTTTGAGACACAGCTCTAGCATAAGCGGGGTAGGGGCAGAGAGAGAGGAAGGCACAGAATCTGAAACAG